TTTAAGATGAGAGAGTTGACTGTTTTCAGGTACAAAGAAACATACTAGAAACTTGTGAGATGCAAGATCAGCGGGGGGTTGGTTTATGAAATGAGGGGACAGTGGATTCCAGGTTACCTTTGATACAGTGTGGGAAAGATAGTGGCTGGGAAAGATGGCCTGAAGTTGGACCTTGGGAAGGCCAAAGGGCCAAGTACCTTCCTTCTAGGACATGTCTGACACTGCTTATGTGCAATCAACCATGTGACCCCAGAAGGGGCATCCTACCTGACCAGTGAACAATGTCAGCCATAAGAACAGATAAAGTATTGGAAGCTTAACAAACCACCCCAAGCTTGTGGTTGCAAACCATAAGCCTTTGTATTGGCTGGGCTCAGCTGGCTGGCTCTTCTGTTCCACAAAGCAGGTTAGGTTACTTTGTGGCTGCATTGAGCTGGGATCTTGACTAGGATTGGGATGTGAGAGAGATGACCTCACTGGGGTGTCTCATTCCCCTCTGAGTGCCTCTCACTCTCCAGGGCTTCTCGCTCCTCATGGTGTCCATAGCAGTGACTGTGTAAAAATCAAGAGATGCAAGGCCTCTTGAGGCCTACTCCTAAGGGTCGTATGGCAGCCCTCCCCTTGCATTTTACTGGCCGAAGCCAGACACAAGATGGCCCAGGTCCAAGGGGACAGGAAACAGATCTCAGATCAGATCCACTTCTTGTAGTCTCAGTGTGGAAGGGCAGGAGCATGGTGGGGACTTTGGCTGCCATCTTTGGAGGCAATGTCTCTGGAATCATTCTTCTATCTGAATAGTCACTTTCCAGCATGGGCCAGCATTCCAGATACAATTTGCTGTGAGCACATCTTATGCCTTTTTAATTGCTCCATAAATATGAATGAAGTAAAAATAATTTTAAATAAACTTTATGATTTTATTATTTTATTATGTAGATGTGCATTCACTGTGGTAAAATTACAAGACAGCGATTTTTCAAGAAAAAGGAAAAATGAAAGTCTTTTGAAATTCCACTCACTGAAGAGAATATCTCGTAGGCCTGTAACACGGCAGGCTCTTGGACTTACAGAAACCCAACCAGTAAGCCTTTCAGCCAGAAATCCCTTTTCTGACAATTAAATTAAGTCTTAAAATAGGTATTGCCCTCTGTGAAAAATCACTAAAACTCATTAAGTGGAACCTGATTTATTGTAGGAACAGAAAATAACATTTAATTAACACCTAATTTACATGTTCGCTATGTCTGGGAGTGTACAATGCTAGAGGTGGGGGTCAACCCTGGTCTGTCTGACCTGGGATTTATGCCTGCTCTGCTCTTTGCAGCCCTGTATGGGGAGGTCAGGGAGGGCAGAATGGAGGAGGTCCTGTTTGAGCCCAGACCTGAAGCAAGTGTAGTTTACAGAGATACAAATTGGGGTCTTTCTGTCAGAAGAAGTAACATTTGTAAAGTAAGAAGGCCTGGAATAAAAAAAAAAAAATCGCTATCTTGCTGTCTGCAGTTCTGAGAAGAGGGTGATGCTTGTGAAAGTCACTGGTGCTTCCTCTTTCTGCTCCCCGCTTCCTCACGATGTCTGCATGAATAAATAGGAAGCCTGGGAGGCCTGCAGCTGTGCAGAGGCTCCCAAAGGAGGCTGGTCTGTCCTACTTCACAGAGGTAGGGCCCCACTGCCAGGGCAGGCAGGGTGGGGTTGGAGCAGGGAGTATGGGATGCTGTGGGGAAGCCAGCCCTGGGGACTTGAGAAGGTTAGTGATCACGTCTCTTGGAAAGGTATTGGAATGAGAATTCTGAGGACATATATCTGTGTTCTGACCCTTGCTTTGCCACCAGGGGTTGTGTTCAGGGTGTTGGTGACAGTGAGAACACTTCTTCTGTGCTTTGGGCTTCTGTCTCCTCACTTTTGCAATGGGGACATTGGAGCTTACAATCTCAGAAATCCAGCTGACTCATAGACTTGGAAGTGTGTGTTTCTGCATATGAAAGTACATGTGCCTTAAGGGCACAGGAAGAGAGGAAGAGGTGCAATGGGGAGGTTGGTTCTATTCAGAATTAAAGTTCAGTGTGGCTTGGAGTGTGCAGTTAGGAGTTGGGAAGGGTTGTGCAGAGGTCTATATATGTATGTATGTACTCATATACATTGATGCTCCCTGAGCACCAAGCATCCCTTCCCCCAAATGTTGTATATTGATCTTGTATTTTATGACCTTGCTAAATTCACTTGGTTCTAATAGCTTTTCTAAAATAGTTCCCTTAAGATTTTCTGTGTACATGGTTATAATCTGTGAATAACAGTGTTACGTCTTCCATATCAACTTGTATACATTTTAGTTCTTTTTCTTGACTTATTGCATTGGCTAAGACCTCTAGCAGAATGTCTAATGGCAGTGGTGAAAATGGGTGCCCTTGCCCTGTTACTGATCTTGAGGGAGAGCAGTTGTAGCTTTTTATTTTTGCTTTAAATGATAATCTCTTAAATGGGAAGAAAAGTCTTCACATTTATTCAACACAGGGTTTTTCAGTCTTTCTCAGCTCTTTAGCTTCATGGAGTTTCATTTGTTCTTATTTTGGCATCTTCTATTTCTAGCCTTATTATGATTTTTTTTAAAAAAAAAATCATGGGGTTAGTCTGGAAAGCCTTTTTCTCCCATGCATTCCCTGCCATGTGCTACAACATTAGGCCCTGATAAACTTTCCCTCCCCCGAGTCACTACTTGTGTTTGGAATAGTGGTTTCAAAATGCTTGCCTGACAATTCAATAATCCATGTTATTCTGGTGTTCTTTCACATTTTCCCCTACCCATTGAGTTTCATTTCACTTCCCCTCTTCTTCCCTGTCTGTTGCCTTTTGATTGGATGCTAGATGTTTACTTTGTGTTGTCTTCCTTGGAAGAGTGCTGGCCTTTGCCCTGACATGTAGTTACCTGCAGGTCAGTTGGTTCTTTCCATGCTCTTTGTAAAGCTTTCTTAGAGGGGTTTTGGAGTTGCTCACTCTGGCTGTGTTAGTCCTAGCCTTATGAAAGTGTTTTCTTCTCTGTTCTTTGCTGAGTCCCTGACAAGGGAGGTGCTGGGCATTTAGTGAGGACTATCTACTTCGGCTGGTTAGAATTCAAACATCTTCCAGCTCTCAGTGAGCTCTGAAAGTGGCTCAGAAAATACCTCGTTCTAGTCCTCAGTCTTATGGAATCTCACCCTGTATGTGCACAGTTCAATATTCAGCAACACACACAAGGAGATCCTGTTCTTTCTCAGGGTAGCTCTGTCTTCCCTTGTTTTCCACACTGGAATTTCAGCTTCTCCTCTGACTCAGGTCCCTGTCCCCCCAACTGAGCAATACCACCCTGGTCTCCTGGGAATTCTTCCTGTACTACAGTCAGAAAGTGATGGAAAGGCAGGATAATCTCAGGATCCACCTTGCTTCCCTTTTCAAAGAAATTTCAGTCTAATGGTGCTTTTTATTCTGAGGTCTGAAGACAATTTATTTTCTCCTCCTCCTCCTTCTCCTTCTCTTCTCCTTCTCTTTTTCTTCTTTTTTCAGACAGGATCTCACTGTTTCCCAGACTAGTCACAAACTCCTGGACTCAAGGGACCCTCCTGTCTCAATCTTCTGAGTGCTGGGACTACAGACACATGCTGGTGCACCTGACTTAGTTGTATGCTTTGCCTAGTAGAAGGTGAAGTCTAGTCCTAGTTATTCCATCATAGCCAGGGGCAGTAACTATCCCCCCATTATGCCTGTCTTTGCCTCTGCTCCTTCACTTTGAACCATTTGGTTCATTCACGTGTTGACTGGGATGTGGGTCCAAGTTGCCTGCACTGTGCATATGGGTGTGGGTTTGGACGTCTGTGCAGAGGGTGGGTGTGCATGAGTCTCCATGATAGAGGCTGGGCACGAGCAAGGGTTGAGGTGTGAGGAGGGTGCAGAAGGTGTTGAATGACTTCAGAGGACAGGGGAACCCTCCAAAGGACCAGGATGAGGCAGGCAAAGGTCCGGCAGCATTAAGGGGCCAGACCTGGATCACAGTCATAACGGAAGTAAAACCAGTTGGTGTCGCTAACTCTGCTGTGCAGCACAAGGGACAGAAAGATGTGAGTGAACCAAGATGGTGGGTTTGCCCGGATGTGGGAGGAATGGGCATGGTGAGGGATAAAACATAATCCTTTCTGCATCTCATTGGAGTGAGCTCCACCCCTCCCTCCCTCCTGGCGTCCTCCTGTGCTCTGGTGCACAGTTGGGAGGTGTGTGTGCAGGTTTCAGCAAATCTCCCTCTCTCTTTCTTTCTCTCTTTCTCTGGTACTAGGGATTAAGTTCATGTCCTCCCACATGCTAGGCAAGTGCTCTACCACCTGAACTATAGCCCAAGCTGGGTTTCAGCAGTTTGAGGACAGCAGATAAGCATCTGACCCTTCCTTGTCACAACGTTGATGGAGGAAACAAGAACTGCTTAGCCTCCCGCAGAGAAAAGGCACAGCAGTAATAACTGGGGCCAGGGGAGGAAGGACAGTGGGATCTGTGGCATTGGGTGAGATGTGGCCCTGAGGGCATCTGTGCATCTGAAATCTCAGAGAGGGGAGGACCCACCCACAGAAGGAAGGTTCCCAAAGTAGATCTGCCTGAACCCTGCACTACCGAAACACACAAGCGAGCCGCAGGGCTGAGCACGCACCCCGTTTCCTCTAATGCCAGGCAGAGGGGCACAGCTGAAGGAGGCCAAGGCACAGTGGGGCACAAACAGCAGAGATTGAGCCCAAGCCTCCTGCTGCCCTCCCACCATGGTCATCACCCCTGAACATGTAGAGAGCAAGGAGCTGTCTTGATGCTGTCCCTGGCCCTGAGAGGGGATCAGTGGCAATGGATGGAAAGAACAAACAACTTGTGATATGAGTCAGCCCAGGTTTCTGGTTGGGGAGCAACACAGGATTCTGGACAGAGAGGACCCCTACTGTGCCCACAGCCAGAGCCCACCCGTGTCACCCAGCTGCAGGTCCAGAGTTGACTGGGAGATGGCGTTGACCCGAGGGCTGCTCCATCTGGTCCTGCTGACTCTGTGTTGGGGGGCCAGCCTGGCAGAGGAAGGAGGTGAGTCTGATGGCCCCTCCCCTTCCCAGCCCCTCTTCACTGCTAGACGATGTGTGGGACACCCCCACTGTACCCCAAGAGGCTCTCAGACACTGTAACCCTGACTACCAGGGGTCTCTGTAGGAAGCTGGAGTCCCTCCACCAGGTTGGGCAACCTGAGGAGCTGGGGGTGACAGGAGCACCTGGAAGGGAGGGTGAATCTCCCACTTCTCCTCGTCAGAAACTGTTCCAATGCAGACCCTGAATTGCTACAACGACTACACCAGCCACATCGTCTGCAGCTGGGCAGACACCGAGGACGCCCTGCAGCTCATAAATGTGACCCTGCATCGGCGATTAAATGAGTGAGTGACGCTGGGTGCCAGGGGACTAGGCTTGGCCCTGTGTCCACTGTGCTTGGTGTGGGGCTGTGGTGGAGAGGGACAAGTCTGGGTCAGTGCTGGGTGGACTGGACAGAGGACAGGGAAGGAGGAGCCTCCAGGAGCTCCTGCCAGGCCCAGGTGCTGGTGTTGGATGTCAGGATCCTGAGGACAGCCTCACACAGGGTGGTGGGACAGTCACTGGGGGTGAGTGGCAGAGCAGGACAGCATCCTCAGGCCTGAGGTGGGGCTGGGTTCCATCGCTCCATGGCCATCATCCACAAACACGTGACTGCTGCCATCTGACCCATGGTCTCCTGTGTCCAGGCCATTCGGCAGGGCTGCTGGCTTCACTGTGGGATGGCAGAGTCTGACTCAGCCATAAATGAAATGATTAAATGACTGGAATCCAGGGAACATGGGAACCTTGGAGGTCTCCTCTGGGGGAGCAACTGTGCACCCTCACCCTGGTCCCCAGTGCTGTCCCTGCTCTCCTGGGTGCTCTATGCTCCTGTTCCCCTCCCTTCTATGTCACCTCTTCTGTCAGCAGGTGACTTGCTTCCTCCTGCCCTGAGCCAGCAGAAGCCCCCTGCACTCCCAGGTCCCTCTTTGCCCCTGTCTCTCCCTGGTCTCCCCCTTGTGGTTGCCTTCCCTGGCTCTGCAGAGATCACCTGTCCCAACCACTGTCTAAGACCTGAGCCTGGATCCCTTGGGTCTTGCTGCTGAAAGACCTCACTGCCACCAATCCTCCCTCCCTCATGTCATCAATGGTTCCTCCCTTCCCCCTCACAAGTGTGCTGACCCCTCCAGATGCCAACAGGGACTGTGGCACGAGGGCATCTCCTGACTGTGAGTCCCCAGCCCAGCCCAGCCCCTCCTCCTGCTGCCTTCACAGCAGCTGTCCCCTGATTCCTCCAAGCCTCCTTCCTTCACCCTACTGTGATAGCCATTCACCCTCATGCTTCAGCTGCCTGTCTGTTAAGATGCTCAGTGACCTTTGTTATTGAACCTGAAGGTCGTTCTCAGCATTCTTTTATTTTTTAGATGGGATTGGGGTTTCATTGCAGGGTTTTGTGCTTGCAAAGCAGATGCTCTACTACTTGAGCCACAAAATTCAGCTCTGGTTATTTTGGAGATGGGATTTCATAAACTATTTGTCTTGGCTGGTCTTGAACCTCCATCCTCCTGATCTCAGCCTCTCAAGTAGCTAGGATTATAGGTGTGAGGCAGCAGCGCTTGGCTCAGCTTTCTTTCTTTATTATTTATTTATTTATTTATTTATTTTTCATTTTTCTTTTATTATTCATATGTGCATACAAGGCTTGGTTCATTTCTCCCCCCTGCCCCCACCCCCTCCCTTACCACCCACTCCGCCCCCTCCCTCTCCCCCCCAATACCCAGCAGAAACTATTTTGCCCTTATTTCTAATTTTGTTGTAGAGAGAGTATAAGCAATAATAGGAAGGAACAAGGGTTTTTGCTGGTTGAGCTAAGGATAGCTATACAGGGCATTGACTCACATTGATTTCCTGTACGTGGGTGTTACCTTCTAGGTTAATTCTTTTTGATCTAACCTTTTCTCTAGTACCTGTTCCCCTTTTCCTATTGGCCTCAGTTGCTTTAAGGTATCTGCTTTAGTTTCTCTGCGTTTAAGGGCAACAAATGCTAGCTAGTTTTTTAGGTGTCTTACCTATCCTCACCCCTCCCTTGTGTGCTCTCGCTTTTATCATGTGCTCATGGTCCAATCCCCTTGTTGTGTTTGCCCTTGATCTAATGTCCACATATGAGGGAGAACATACGATTTTTGGTTTTTTGTTGGCTCAGCTTTCTTATACTTGACCCCAACATAACCTGAGGCCTGTGACACCCTCCTCTCCTGAAACACATTCTCCTCTCAGTCTCTTGGATGCTCCATCACTGGTGTTGCTCCTGCCTCACTAGGCCCCTTCTCTTGCTCATTTATCCTGTGCTTCTGCCTCAGCACAGTGCAGTACTGTGCTCACGTCTAATGTCACCTGCTCAGGACATCTCCCCAAACTATCCATTTCAGGTGTGCCCTGATATTGTCAAGTTTGCGCGTCCTTATTCTCTGCGTTCTCTGTTTACAGGAAATTTTCTCATACGATGTGTATTATTCTGAGGTTTACTCTGTGCCTCCTCCAGGATTCCAGCTTTTTGGGTGGGGGTCAGCCGGTGTTGTTCACTGCCAAGCTCCTGAGAGTGTACACAGCCCGGCACCTGGTGGTCACTCGGTAGTGATCTGATGAGTGAGTGACCCTTATTTACTTTGGGCTAACTCATGTCCTCTCCTGACAGGAGCCCTGCAGAGCCAGTGTCCTGTGACCTCAGTGAGGACTTAGCCTGGTCACAATGCCCATCTTCCAGCTGTGTGCCCAGAAGATGTGTCATTCCCTACTGGAATTTTTCCGAAGCTGATGATGACTACTTCTCATTCCAGCCAGACTGGCCTCTGGGAGACCAGCTCATGGTTACACTGACCCAGCATGGTGAGAAGCTGGGCCTCAGCCAGGGCTTGGTCCTATCTCCATAGTGGGTACCAGCTGGTGAGGGTGTCCAAGGGGTGGAGACCCTGTCCTGGGATGGTCCCTGGCGGGACAAGATGTGCTGTCTTCACGCTGAAGGCCCTGCAGCAGGTGCAATAGGAAGGCTTTGGCCCAGGGTTCCCTCGTGGCCTCACCCACTCATTCTTTTTTTTTTTTTTCCTTTTTCTTTTATTATTCATATGTGCATACAAGGCTTGGTTCATTTCTCCCCCCTGCCCCCACCCCCTCCCTTACCACCCACTCCGCCCCCTCCCTCTCCCCCCCCAATACCCAGCAGAAACTATTTTGCCCTTATTTCTAATTTTGTTGTAGAGAGAGTATAAGCAATAATAGAAAGGAACAAGGGTTTTTGCTGGTTGAGCTAAGGATAGCTATACAGGGCATTGACTCACATTGATTTCCTGTGAGTGTGTGTTACCTTCTAGGTTAATTCTTTTTGATCTAACCTTTTCTCTAGTACCTGTTCCCCTTTTCCTATTGGCCTCAGTTGCTTGTAAGGTATATGCTTTAGTTTCTCTGTGTTAAGGGCAACAAATGCTAGCTAGTTTTTTAGGTGTCTTACCTATCCTCACCCCTTACTTGTGTGCTCTCGCTTTTATCATGTGCTCATAGTCCAATCCCCTTGTTGTGTTTGCCCTTGATCTAATGTCCACATATGAGGGAGAACATACGATTTTTGGTCTTTTTCACCCACCCATTCTTGGCTCCCAGCCCTGAGGGCTTCCCTCCAATAGGAGCCATCCCTTGACTGACACCACAGCTGTCAGCCGATAGCTCTTCCCCTTGTGTCATCTCATCTCATTTCTACAGTAACCCATTTCATGGATGAGGCCCTTGGTGCACAGAGTCCAAAGTGCTGCCGCTGAGCAGAGGCAACAGGAACAAACCAAACTCTCTGCAGACTTCTCATGAGTTGGACCAGAGCTGTCTCCTCACTGCCCTCTCTGGGGCCTTGGGGTGGCACTGTAGGTCCACAAGCCTAGGAAACCAGCATGGCTTTGGGCAGGTGAACAGCCAGGTTTATTTCAGTACACAGTGGAAGAAACACACTGGTCCTTCAAACTGTTGGGTTCAGGGAAGCATTGCCCCACTGAGGCTAAAGAAAGTAGGAAGTCATGCTACAAAGGTTTGCACTGACATGCCAAACCTGTACATGTCGTGGGCCGTTAGGGGACCCTAGGGCTTGGGTTCACCTCCCTAAATGCTGGGCAGTCCCTGCCTTTGACTTCTGATGAACCTGACACAGGGAGGAAGGGGACTTGCCCAAGCCTGGCCCCCACAGGTGGCCTTGCTCTGATCCCCCCGGGGCCCAGCTGCTCTGCTTTGCCTCCTGCCTCTTCCTGTTTCTGGAACAGCTTCACCAAGCTGTTGCCTGGAAGAGGCGATGGGTTAGACCACCACGACTTCCTCTGACATGATGCTTCAAAACACGGGTTTGATGGATGAGAGAGTCCCTTCCCAGGGGAGCACGTGCTTCAGATTGAAGGCACAGGGTGACCATGGATACTTTCCTGTGTGATGACTCACTATAGGCAGGTGTGGCCCACACGTGGGGGCAGAGGGCACGGAATCCCATGGGCTCAGAATGGGCTTTCCAGAGGAAGAGAAGATTTTTTGCAACTGTCTGAGGGTGGGTGGGAGCACAGAGTAGGAGGAAGATTCTTGGCAAGGGTAACTACAGGTGCAAAGGCCAGAAGGCTCAGGAAGGCACAGCCTGTTGGGAAAACTGTAATCATTGTGCTCGGGAGCATCCAGGTCAGGCGCAGTGGACAATGGTAGGAAGAAGCAGAAACACAGTCAGGTCGTAGCCCTCTACCACACCACATCCCACAGCCAGCATTTGCTTGTGAGAATGTTTTGTACAGGGAAGTCACCCCCCAGCCATCGGACCAGGAAGGTCAGGACACCAAGGGCCAGGGCAACATGAAGGTAGCTTCCTCACTGACCAGTAGGCTCTGACACGTGTGCCTGTGAGGGTGGATGGAGTGATTTTCCTCTCAGTCCCCCAGGACTGCCTGCATGTATGCATGCGTTCATTCCTTCACACACTCACCTGGCCCCCAAGGTCACTAAGCAGCTGCATCTCAGGCCAGGGAAGGGAGTGGAGACCCAGCCTGTCCCTCCTGAGCTCCTGGGGTCCCCCAGGGGTGGCACACCTGGAAATGTGTGCCACACCTGGAAATTCACCAGCTGTGACCATGGCGGGGGGAGTATTTACAATAAGCTATGGCAAAACACAAAAGTGACCCTGCCAAAGGATGGGGTTCCTGGGCAATCACAGTGGTGAGGGATTTGGGCAGGAGAGGGAGTAGCACGGCTTGCAGTGCCCTCTGCGGGGAGGGAGGCCACAGTGCTTGGCTGGGCAGGAGGAGGCTGCAGTCATTTCCAGGCCCCTGAGGCAGCTGGCAGGGTAACTGCACAGCACCCTGGGTCGCTGTCCTGTTTCACATCGGATCTGCACAAGTTTGGAGGTGAAGGGCCCAAGGCTGTAGAGGAAGGGTCTCTTCGTGGCTTGCCTCTCATGGGGGCCGTGTTGGTCTAGAAGCCAGGTGTGTCACCCAGCAGGCCAGACAGCCCTCAGGCACCCACAGTCACCAGCCCTCACCAGCTCCTTGCTTCTTCTCCCTGCAGTCCAGCCACCCCCACCCAAGGACGTCCACATCAGCACCACTGGGGCCCACTTCCTGCTGACCTGGAGCGTGCCTCTTAGGGACGTCCAGAGGCCCTGGCTGTCACAGGGGGACCTGGAGTTTGAGGTGGTCTACAGGAGGCTTCAGGACTCCTGGGAGGTAGGACCCACAGTCAGTTCTGCCCCAGACAGAGGCCAGCCAGGCCAGCCCTCCTGCAGCACCTCCTCTCTCCCACAGGACGGCACCACCCTGCAGTGCACGTCCTCCCACGTGGTCCTGGAGCCAGAGCTCCTGATGCCCAGCACCTCCTATGTGGCCCGAGTGCGGACCAAGCTGACCCCAGGCTCAGGCCTGTCAGGAAGGCCCAGCAGGTGGAGCCCTGAGGTGCACTGGGACTCCCAGCCAGGTAGTGAGCCCAGGGCAGGGTGGGCTTGCAGGAGCTCTGGGCAGAAGTGAAGGGTCCCACCCAACCCCCAGTGGCCTCCAAGTGTCTCTGCTGTGTACTCTTCTCACAGGGTCCCTGGCCTGCCCTGTCTCCACTTGGAACTCCCCTGGGCCGACTTGTCTCATGCACTCCGGGCTCCCTTCCCCACCTGTTAGTTGACAGCATCAGCCCAGACATGCAGGGCTCCCTATGTCACCGTGTTCAACCCCACATGGAAGCTTCTAGACCATCCCTCTATCCCTCTGACAGGTGGTCTCCCAGTTCCTCTCTAACTGGGGGCCTCAGCAGGTAGAGCAGGCTGACGTCCTCCACAACCTGGGCCTGTTGTCCCCAAGCCCATGCTCTGTCTGAGTCACATGGTGGCCCAGAGCTATGGACTGAGGGACGGTGGATTGAATGAGAGACATCTCTCCTCCCAGGGGACAAGGCCCAGCCCCAGAATCTGCAGTGCTTCTTTGACGGGGTCCACACGCTCAGCTGCTCCTGGGAGGTACGGTCCCAGGTGACCAGCTCCATCTCTTTCGGCCTCTTCTACAGGTCCAGCTCAAGTGCACGGTGAGTGAGCGTCCCCTCCCACCCCTCCCTGCTCTTTCCTTGTCCTGGCCAGGCCTCTTTCTGTCCTAATCTGAGGTCTCAGCCCTTGTGGCCCCTCTGTGGTCCCTGTCCTCAGTTCAGCTGTGCCCCCCAGGGAGGAAGAATGTTCTCAGGTGCAGAAGGAGGAGCTGGATGGCCTCTACACCAGGCAGCGCTGCAGGATTTCTGTGCCGGACCCTGGGGCTCACGGCCAGTACACCGTCTCTGTTCGGCCACGGAGGGAAGAGAAATTCATAAAGAGCTCAGACCACAGTGAGTTGCTCCCACCTGTGTGTGGGTTCTCGGGACATGATCTGTCCACTGTGTCACCCCCCAAAATCCAGTGTTCCTTCTGTCGAGGCTTTCTGTTTGTCACTTTCAAAGAAATGCATTCCAGTGACCAAAAGTGAACAGCAATAGTTCACTTCTCCATTTGAAATTCTCGAAAACACAATTGCCACATTGACCTCTAGGTTTGGGGCGTCAACTCCTTCCTTTTGCTTTGTAGTCTGCTCAGACGCCCTGTGCCATCCTCTGAACTCCACCCCTCCCTTCTCATTGCCTTCCCAAAGTCACTGCAGGATGTCCAATGGTCCCCTCACACCTATCACGCTGCAAAGTGAGTGTCTGTCTGTCCCTCCCAGCTTGCTTCCCGACTCTCTAAATGGCAGGTCAGTTTTCAGCTTCTTGGACTGGTAACCTTGGGGCCACTCTTACCTTTTTCTTAAGTGTCACTCCTTGTTCCTTGGCTATTTTTGCTATTTGTCTTTGAGATGGACCCAGAGCTGGTGTGTTTCAGGGGTACTTGGTATATTTCTGTCGATGCTTCACCCTGGTTTAAGCCATGTGTCCCTCTGGGTCCTCACACCTGTCATCACTGTGGTCTTCTTCTCCTCCCGTCCTTTCCCTTCCTTCAGTTTCTCTTCAACCCAGCAGCCTGTGTGATTCTGTAACATATCAAATAATTCTACCCTTCTCCATATTGTTGGAAGCTCTAGGCACACTCCTACCTCAGTGCCTTTGCAGCTGCTGTTCTCTCTGCTGGGACCCTTTGTCTTTGAAATCTGCTGTCTTCCTTACCTTTGTTCCAACCTCATGATCTCTGTGAAATACACCCCTGCCGCCACATTCTAGCTCTGCCCCAAATCCACCTGTCCTTCCCGTGGCACTAATCACTCCCAGTCATGTGACATATTTCTTTATTGTTGGGTGTCCTAAGGCTGGAGACTTTGCTTTGTTAACTGTGCTCCTCCTGTGTCTGCAACAATGCCTGGCACGGAGCAGGTGCTCAGAAAGTTGTGGAACCAAGGTGCAGACACAGGTTAAATGGAGGGTGGGGGGAGCGGACCATGCCACCACTTCCTGTGTGTCCCTCCCTAGGTTCTGGCCATTCTCCGTGGGTTCTCCTATGATGGGGATGGGATGAATAGAGGGGCTGATGGGGGGGTGATAGAGGGATGGAGTTTTGTTTTTCTCAAGGTCTTTAAAGCAAAACAGACCATGGAAGCAAATATAGTCTCATTATCATTATTATTTTTTGACCCTCCTGAACTTTGAAGACCAGAAGAAGAGATCTGTCCTACTGGGCCTGCCTTCTGATATTACCAAGAGGGTCCTGGTCCTCTGAGATGGGCACGATGAGCAGTGTCCAGTCTCTGGAGAATAGAACTTGTCCCAGGTCCACTAACATACATGGGCTGGACAGCAGCAGACAAGCCAGCAAGACCTGGGGTGGAGTAGGGGTGATTTCTGGAGCCTGGGAAGGCCACTTTTCTAATCCAGGCTCCATGAAGGGTAGGTGCCTGGGACATGCTGTGCCCAGGTTAATTGAGAGTCAAAGGCACAGGTGGCCACAGCTGCTGTGGTACTAGGAACCCAGCCCTCACTACTGCCAGTCAGAGGGCAACAACTCCCAGCAACACAGGAGCAGGGTGCTTAGAGCAAGACAGATGCTAACTCCAGAATTTGGGGCCAAAGACGCCAAGAAGGATGACACTGGAGGTGGCTGGGCCAGTACAAAGAATACCTCTGACCAGCTGGGATCACAGAGAATGTTCTACTATGGGGGTGGAGTTCATGATGACCTCTGAGTCTTCCTACTTCCAGTCCAACTGGCCTGCCCCGTCCTCAATGTGACCATGGATGGAGACAGCTACAGCCTCCACTGGAAAGCAGAGCAAAAAAATAGAATCAGTCCTACCTTCGATGTCCAGTACAGGAAAGACACGGCCACGTGGGAGGTGATGACCTAGGCCCAGATGGGAAAAGAGGAGGGCAGAGGGGAGGGAATATCCCAAGCCTGGTCCTAGCAAGTGACTGGTCAGAGGAGGCAATGCCACGTGGTGGCCACGCCCTGTGCAGGCAGTAGGTCACAGTCCCATCACTTGGGAAGGAGCTGAGGCAGAGAGAGGACATGACAAGTAACATGAACACAACAGACTGAATTACAAGGTACAGAAGATGTCAGAGATTGGTGGGTGGAGACCCTGGATGAAGGTTTTCAAAAGTCACCAAGTCCTGGGGACATTATTCCAGGGAGACTGCTCCTGAGGTGCAGGCCCTGCCGATCCCACCACCAGGCAGCCCTGGTTGCTGAGCATATACTGCAGGCTCCCCTGAGCCCAGAGCAGAGAGAGAAGCTGGGCAGCACAGAAACTTTAGGCTAAGAATGAGGAAACTGAGGCAGGAGGGACTCAGGGCCCAGGGCCCAATCTGCCCTTGCTGTCTTCCTGGAGTGTTCTGTTCACCCCAGAACACCTGGGTGGGGACGACTCTCCAGGTAAGGGTGGGAGGAGGTGACTCCTGGAGTTCTTGGCCTTGGCACCATGAGGGGTGGAGTCTGACGAGCTTGAGTGCTGGGTTGCAGTGGACCCCAGAGTGGGGTCCCTCCTGGTGGCCGTGAGGTCTGGAAGTGGGGAGGACCTGGCCAGGGCCCTGGCCACAGCGCACCTGTTCTCCACAGGACAGCAAGAGCGAGACCCTACAGCACGCCCACAGCATGCCCCTGCCAGTGCTGGAGCCGGACACCAAGTACTGTGCCAGGGTGAGGGTCAAGCCCAGCCCTGGACCCTACCGTGGGATCTGGAGCGAATGGAGCGGGGAGCACTGCTGGACCACTGAGTGGGGTATGTCGTCTACACTCACTCGCCCTCTTCACAGCCCTACAGGAGAGTGGGCAGAGACGTGGGGTTCCAACTGAACCTCCTTAACCTCAGTGTGTCACCAGTCACTGGAAAGTGACACCTGCCGTGCACCTTGTGTGCTGGTGACAACTTGAGAGAGCACAGGAAAGGACACGAGAGCCCCTTCACACTGGGGCTCAGCCTCTATTCACAGGGCCTTGGTTTCGCTCATCTTGTGGACCCAGTGGTTGGTCAGCCTGGGTTTCCTGTGACCATGGCGGCAAAGACATCAGAAGCTATAGACTGGGGCCTGGGATTGGGAGGCTTGGTGTGAAGTTTTAGTCCCCAGCTCTTGCACTCGTGCCTTTCATTCATCCTCTCCTTTGCTCAGTCACCACGTGGATACACGTAGAAAGCCAGATCGAAAGGATGGATTCAGAGAGGGTGGAGGGGCTGTGGGGAGAAAGCACCCAGCCTATAGCCAGCCTTGTCTCGAGAGGAGCCCCAGGGAGGTAGTCAAGGTCAGGTAGAAAAGAGGACTGGACCCTAGAACCCCAGGGAGAGGGAAGGCAGGAGGTCCTCAGGACCCAGCCAGCGCGGGCGGGGTGGGCAGCTCAGGACTGCCCAGAGGGAAGGCAGGGGCTCCTGAGGGACTCGGCAAAGCTGAACTCCTTGCCAGCATGCCTTTCCCTCCACCTCTGTCCCTCCTTCTACCTGGAGGTCCAGTGCCCATGCCTCCTCCTTCAGGAAGTCCACAAGCTCACCAGCCGCAGGCCATGCCTCCCGTGGCACTCTTGTTGCTGGACAGGACCAGCCTTCCATGCCCCTGTCCTGTGAGTGCTGGTGGCTCAGACCAGGCCTCTTCCTCTCCTGTGTTTGGCCATCCCACCCAGCAGCCCTAAGCAGTGGGCTCTGGTGTCCTGGGCTTGTGCGGAGGTCCTGGGGGACACTGAGATGCCCCCGATTCCAGGCCTCAGCCTTCCCTCTCCACCTAATGCTCCTCCCTCCTCCTGCTGCCACAGCTCTGCCCATGTGGGTGCTGGCGCTGGTCCTGGCCTGTGTCACCCTTGCCTTGCTTGTGGCCCTCCGCTTCGGTGGCATCTACGGATACAGGTAACAGACTCCATGGGCTTGGGTTAGGGGAATCTTGGACCCCCAATGGCCACCAGATTGGCACAGCCTGGGTCTCTCCAACTCCTCCTCTGCCACCCACTCCCTGGGCCTCAGTTTCCCCTTCACATAAGGCATGCGACAACTAGCCCTGAGGTCTCTGGTGACTGTCCCCTCCCTGTTGTCTCCCAGGCTGAACAGGAAGTGGAAGGAGAAGATCCCCAACCCAGGCAAGAGCCTCCTGTTCCAGGTAGGATGGGCTGGGGAAGGGGAGAGGGGTCCTCTGCTCCTGGCTCCCTGTCTCTGTCCTGTCACCTCCTGCCTCTTCCTGTAAGATGTCATGGCCAGGTGTGCACAGCTCCAGACTTGTGAGCATGGAGGCTGGGCCAGCAGGAAGTTGGTCCTTGGTTTCCCTGGGCACCTGGAGCCCCACGTCCATCCCAGCTCTGCCTGGAGCCCATGGAAGGACTGAGAGCAGGGCCCAGGGCCAGCTTAGGATCAGGAATGAGCTCCTAGGATGGGTGGGGCATCAGAGGCCCAGGACTGGACCTGAGCTGAGTCCTGAAGGGCTGGGTGCTGGTGGGCAAGGCGTTTCTTCCCAGAGTGGCTGCAGGGTGTGAACAAGGTTTCTCCAGGAGCACTGACCCAGGAGGCTTCCCAGGAGGGAGCCTCAGGGCCTCTAGTGAGGCAGCAGTGTCACCCTGTTTTGTGAGGGGTCTCAAACTAAGTATTAGGAGGGAGCGGTGAGGGTGGGGGCCCTGATGAGGTAAGGCTTGGGAGCCAAGGGTCCTCCTGTCTCAGAAGCCCAGGACCCCGGAGAGGACACAGCTTCTCCCTGGGCCTCAGTCTCCTGGTGTCAGAAGGCCATGGCAGGTCCCCACAGTGGTTTTGGAAATGGCTCCCATGTTTGGACCTCAGTGAACTCCCACCCCTCCCATGTCCCCTACCCTCCCCACCTTTCCAAGGCCACCACACCACAGGCACCAATGTCCTTCCTTTCCAGAACGGAAGTGCAAGACTGAGGCTCCCAGACAGCACATCAGCCTTTGCCAGCAGGATCCCCCCTCCCCAGGGGCCCTGGCGCAGCCTCTGTCCTGAGCTGGAGGGGTGAGTGTGTGTGCGGCTCTCACTTGCCCCTGACCTCCGGGGAGCCAGTGGGGTGGGGGTTCCCCATTATCGGCATCAGGAGCTCACATGAAGTGGCCTGTGGCTCACTGTGAATGAAATCCAGGCAATGGGTTTGCACTAAAGCAGGCGGCACCCCAGGTGGATGTCAGGAAGAAGTTCCTGACTCTAGGTTAGAGAGGGACAGGCAAGGGACTTGACCAGAGGCAGGGGACTGGAGCAGATGGCCTCTTCCTGCCCTGTTACCCACACTTCAGAGGTCTTTCAGTCACTTATATAGGCCGTATGTAGATGGCTTAGGGGTGCAATCCTGCAGGTCTTCAAGACATATGCAGGCTCCTGGGAACCCCTCTGTGGTATATTTTAGATGCCCTCCTGGGGTCCCTTGTGACTTCTGAGGCCCAAGGCCAGGGAGCTACTATCCTTAGTGATTTGGGGATGACTTACTGAGCAGTGACGTCGAGGAGGGCTTCTGCTTGGCCAGGGATTCCTTCCTGTCTCCAAAGCTGCTGGGTGTGGGGCAGGTGGCACCTGGAAGCTATATGACTTTCTGACAGTGCATGAGTAGAAATCAGTGTTCAGAGTGGCAAGGAGCTCTGTGCTCAGAGGTCTCTGGAGCCAGGCAGGGCTGTTTTGCTCAGTGCCTATGCCCTGGGGCAGGGTGAGGGTCTTTCCCAAGAAACGAGCCCCTCTCCTGTGCCCTGTCTGGGCACCTGCCCTGAACCTTCATCTCTCTGGCTGTGATGCACTCTGACTCTCAAAGTGAGGGTACAACCACCAGCCTGGAAGTCTTGTGAGGACCCCCAGAAGGCTGAGTGGTGACAGGTGCCCCTGGGTCAGGCTGTGCCCATTGTGCTGACCCCAGACCTCTAACTCTTCTCTGGGTTCTCATGGTGGGAAGCAGCCAGTGCTCCTCACCCCTGGTGGGACATTGGAGCCTCTACTGTCAGCCCTTCAGGGACACCAGCCCTGACCTGTGAGTAGGATCGAGAGCCCCTGATCCAGTTTTACCAGCGCAGGTGGGGTTAACACCATGTCAGACTTCTCCCTCTCTACGTTAAGGTTTATTCCCCTCTGCAAATGCCCAGCTTATAGGATTGTTGGGACAGATGGTGAACTGTGTGTGACCACAATGCTCTGCCACAGCAGCTGTCATTTGTCTGGAAGTTGTGAAGGAGGAGCGGTTCTGATCCTCTAGGGGCTCCAGGTTCAGGGAGGCAGATAAACTGAGTGCCTAAGTTTAGTCACTCAGAAGCACACACACATACACACACATGAGTCATTTGTTCATTGAACACGTGTGGGCCATGCACTGTGCTCCACAGGGCCCTCACCAGAGCTGTCACTAGGCAGAGAGGGAGGCTGAGAATCCAATGGCAGGTTGAGGCCCAGAATAAGGAAGATGATGACAGCCTCAGTCTGAAGGAGAGAGCTGGCTCGGCTTGACTGGGGTTGCTAAGGACCCGGCAGGGATTTGGTGCAGGAGGGATCTGGCTCCTGATGCCTGCCATGCTCCTTTGATGATGTGAATGACTCATGGGCACAGGGTCAGGTGGCACCTGGAGGGGGTGGGGGGCAGTGGAAGAGCAGCAGATAAGACAGAGGCAGGATGGGCCGCAGTGCTGAAACTCACAAGAACTGATAGTGAGGGTCAGGGCTATTTTCCCAGGCAACCTCACATCCTTGGGACCCTGCTACCCTTTTCCCATCCCATCCATGTCCTTCAGAGGCCAGGGGTCACTTTTCCATTAATACCTTACTTCTGTTCTTCCCCCACAGAGTGTCCTCTGTAGATCTGGGGGACAGCAAGGTGTCACTTCTCACCGTAGAGGATCCTAAAGGCATCTGTGACCCACCATCTGAGCCTGACATGACTCCAGCTGCCCCTGGTCTGTCCACCAACCAGCTACTCAGCCCCCTGCCAGACCCACCAGCCCCCAAAGACAGGCCTGAGGGTCAGGTCTCCAGCTTTGACTTCAATGGTCCCTACCTATGGCTACCTCACAGCCGCTCCCTGTCTGACATTAGGGGCCAGCAGGTGTCCCCACAGATGGGTGGGACCCCAGAACTACTGCTGCAAGGCTCTGTGGAGTACCTGTGTCTACCCCCTGGGGGACAAGTACCACTGGTTCCATTGGCCCAGATGATGGGGCAGGGCCAGGACAAGGACAGGGAGTGTCAGCCCAGCCCAGTGGCTGAGGGGAACCCCTCCCTAGAGGCTGGGGGAGGCCCTGCTTCTCTTGTACCTGGACTGAGTGTGAGTGGACAGGACCCAAAGGAAAGCCTGGTGGCTCTACCCATGAGCTCTGGGGCCCCTAAGGAGTCCATGATGGCTTCTGATTATGTCACTACTGCTGACATGTCACTCACCCTGCCACAGGGTCCCCATCTGTCTCTCTGACTTCTCCTCTGGACCTCCCCTTAGACCAGAATCCCAGCCTCTGTCCTAGACTGCTGAGTGAGCCCCCTGGGACCCCAGCCCTAGGAAAGTCAGAGTTTGAGGGCTCCCAAGTCCCCTGTGGGCAGTCCTGCCCCTCCTGTACTCATCAGTCCTGGGCTGAGCCCAGGGGAGCCCCAGGAGGATGTGACTCCTGTGTCCCCACATCCCGAGGGGCTCCTTGTCTTGCAGCAGGTGGGGGACTATTATAACCCCTCCAGTGTTGGAGCCTGGCTTCTCCCTCTCCAGGCAAAGCCCTCTACTCCTGGAAGTGGCGTGGTCTCAGACTAACATGTACTGGACAGATAAGAGCATCTGACATGTGTCAGTGTCCAGGAGATAGAAGAATGTCATATCCCCACACCTTTCCCAATTCTAGATCATATTATATTATATTATATTATTTTAGTGGCTTTCCTCCCCAGTATTTAACAGTTTTGTGAGTAAACAATGTATTCACCTTTCATTTGAATATCCCTAATTGCTAATGAGGATAAACTTTTTGATTAGTTTTTTTTATTGGCTATCTATACATTTTTTTGATAGGGCACTCACTCTGGTAATGTAACCATTCTTTTCTACTTGGTTTCTTATTGATTTGTGGAGACTCTTTATTTATGATGGCTATTAAGCCTTTCTCTGCCATTCCTACCCAGTGCTATGTCGCTGGGGCCTCCTGGCCTGGAGCCCTCTGTGTAGGATTGCCTCAAAGCTTCCAGTTCAGCGCCCAGTGAATTCACCACCACTTCTACTCTGCCTACTTCTAACCCTTGGGCTCTGTGTCCCCACATTCCCAGAGGCGTCCGGCTCCTGGAGTCTCCAGTCCCTGCAGCTGCTCCAGCTGCATGAACACAGTTCTGCAGATCAGACTGGGACCTGGACCAAATCTCTCCCCAGCTTCCTCTCCAAAATAGCCCCACCATTTGTGACATTTTATGTCAGTATTAGTGATAGTCAGAGATGGGGAGGGGGTCATAGGGCATTCCACACACTCACTGGCTCCTTTGCTGTCTTTTCTCCCTCCCCCCTCTTCTCCACTTCTCCTGCTTTCCTGTCTGGAGCAGCATACATGTTTCTTCCTCTCCCATGCAGTAAGCAAGAGGATGTTGGTGTCCTTTTGTTTGAGTGTGTTGCTCAGTGTTTCACCCTTCACATCAAGCCATTCTGGGGACATCTGGTGAGTTACATGGGCAGAGCTCCCCTCACCTGGTCACTTGTACTTTGCAAACCTTTCCTACTCCACCCCTTTCACTTCAAGTTCATCGGGGGGCACTTTTCAAAGCAGCACTCTTCTGGACCTTATTACCCACACTGTGAGCACCCAATGACCATGGCAGGCAAATTCACCTATTTTGGCCCCCCAGATTCACCTATTTTGGCCCCCCAAATTCACCTATTCCAAGGAAAGCTAAGCACACAGCCCACTTGTTACATATAGACTCTCCTCATGTTGGTGGCTTCCTAGTGTTCCCACTAGTGTGACAGTACTGTAATTCCTTCAGCAAGCCCTCTGTTGGTGGACATTGTCTCTGAGTTTTTGTAACTGTAAACAATGCTGAGGGGAACATCTTCATGCCCACGTGAGCTGAGAGTAGAACAGCCAGTAAAATACAAGACATCTTGAATTTGAACTTCAAGTAAACACTTACACTATTTGTTGTTGGTCTCAAGTTCAAATTTGGCCACATAGCCTGCACTTTTCTTTGTTACATTTGGCAACCATTAGAAGGACTGGGTACCATGCCAATTTGTACCTGTTGAACACACTTCCTCCCTACCTGGCCACTGGAGTGCCACATTGTCTCCCCTTTGGCTGTGAAACACAATGAATAAAGAATTGGAGCAGGGCACCAGTGGATCACGCCTGTAATCCTAGCTACTCAGGAGGCAGAGATCAGGAGGATCAAAGTTTGAAGCCAGCCCTGGGCAAATAGCTCTTGAGACCCTGTCTTGAAAAATAACATCACAAAAAAAAAGGCTGGTGGAGTGGCTCAAACTTTAAGAGTGCTTGCCTAGAAAGTGTGAGTCCCTGAGTTCAAATCCTGGTGCTATCAAAAAAAAATATCTCCTCTGTGGAGTCTTCTTGGAAATTGACTCTGATCATGTATGTGTGTTTGGCCTTGCTATCCAGCAATTAGTCAAACTTTGTCACCATCTCCAGTCCTTGGTAGAGTCGTTGAGTCACCACAACGGGGTGATGGAGGAGAGGGAATGAGAAATTTCCAGAACCTTCCAGAAAGATGCTCTTTTGACACCTATGCTAGGCATATATGCCAGGCTGAATATAGCTACCTACCAGTTAGGCTCCATTTTTTGGTTAGTTTTAATTATTGGCTATCTGTTGCCCAGGCTGAGCTGGGCAGCGAAGGAGCCAGGCTGAGTGCAGAGCCTCCGGGAGCTCCAGAGAGAGAGTGAAGGGGTTTCCAGAGGAGCCCCACGCCTGAGTTAGGACTTCGGGATGGCTCGGGGTCTCTGCCTGATGATGTCACCCCTGCTCAGGACTCCAGCTTGCTCTCCATCACCACTGTGTGCAGCCACTTTGGTTGGGGCCAGGAGGGAAGGTTTGGAAATGCCGGAGGCTCTGGTGAGGAACACACAAGCTATTGGGGACAAGGACCCTACATAATAAATGAAATGACTCCATGGACAGCCTTGGGAGACCCCAGCCCTCAGCTGCTGCCAGCCTCCAGCTTTGGCCTCCCTCCTTATCAATGTTCTTCTTAGGGCGTCCTGACCAGTGACTGGTTCCATGAGGGCCAGGGCTGGGCTGTGTCTGTCCCAGGTGGGGCTCTTCCAACAGGCAATTCTCATGCAGGTCACAGTGACCCGATGGCTTCCCCTGTCCAAGCTTGCTCCCCTTCCTGAAGTTTCCCAAGCTCCTTTGCGATCTGTGTGTCTCCATCGCAGGGACAGCTTCCTGGGAGCCTGGAGCTGTGACAACTGCTTAAAAACCATGTGCCACCTCCAGGCTGGGTTTCAGGAAACGGGCGAGGCCCTGCACAGAGGTCTCTCAGGACTCCGAGGTGGGAGGACACACAGCCTAGTTTTTAGCTCCCGGGTGGAAATGCACACATTTCTATGGTCACCTCTGGCTGTTGGATCAGTTTGTTTTCTGGATTTCTCTGGCTTGTCAACCAACATGGATCATGTCATATCCACGTGTGCATCTTTAGGAAAACAATATTGCCCACAAGGCCTGGCTCTGAGTCCCAGGGTCAGGATTTGAATCCTGCCTCTGCATTTGACTGGCTGGTTGACCTGGGGCAAGTTGTGTAACCTCTCTGTGCCTTAGTTTCTTCAGTTACAAAAAAGAGTCTGAAAAAAGATCTCAGTTGTTCTCAGCTATTTTTCTGGGTGACCTGGTCTTTTAGTTTTCCATTCTCATGAGTGGAGATCAAAGGCAGAATCCAGTTACATTAAATTGCAGGCGTGTTCTTTATCCTCCTCTTGCTCATGTCTTCCTCCCTCCCTCCCAGCTGGATTTTCCAGAAGCCTGCCCACTTCTCACTTCATTGGCCACAGCCCTAATCTCTCCATGGTGCTGGTCCCCTGTGCCACTCTATACTCAGTGACCCTGTTCCCCATACTCACTTGCCAGGCATCAAAGACCATCTTCCTGGCAACACAATTGGGGTTTCAAGGAGTGCCCTTCTCCTCAGCCCTCCAGCACAGACACACAAGTTCAGGGCTTGATTTTGTTTTATATTACAAATATTTTATTGAGATTTCCCTCAGTGCATGGGTGCGTGGAGCTAACATCTTGGATGTCTTTGTAACACACGAGGTCCACAAAGAGCTCTATTTCAGATGTACTGGCACACGTCCTGAGTTTCACCACTGAACACGGAAGTTGCTTATGATTTTCTTTGGTCACTAACATTGCAGTAATGACCAGGGATGGCTGAATAAAAGGCACAAGAACACTGGCTTTGCCTGCCACTTACTACCTAAGACAAAGCTAGAATGGTCAGGACAGGGCACCATTGAGAGAACAGGTCGTGAGCTAGAAACAAGGATCCTGTGTCATGAAAGCAGCATTTTGGACACGTGGACAAAGAGAGATGACTCAACAGATGCTGCAGACACCTGGCTCCATATTGGGAAAAACATAAAGATGGATCTGTCTCACAACCCTGTTCCCAAATCATTAAATTTTACATGAAAAACTCAAAACACAAAAGCACATAAAGCATGACCAATGCAACTTTGCCATGGAGAAGGTACCAAGTGGAGCACAGTTTGGGGACCCATCTTGCAACAACACAGGGGTGTAGATGCTAAGTATACCACTGTGCCTCCTATAAAAATTGCCACACAGGTCACAAAGCAAGGGGGAAATGTGCACCATCCGTGAAAGGCCACACTCAAATAGTTTAAAACTGCACAGAGACCTTATTAGCGAAAAAAATTAGCAATGCCCAAAATATATATGAAAACATGCAAATTTGGTAATCAGTTAATGCAAATTGAACCAATGTAATGCTATTATGTTTTGGGTATCAGAAAGGCAAAGATCTCAAAAAAACATAATTCCCAGAGGCTGCCTCACAGCCTCTCCTCTGTGGCCAGTGGGAGCCAGAGTCTACAGTCTTTCTGGAGGAGAGGCCAGCTGGGCCATCCAGACCAATTGCCTTGTGGTAACTGTGACTTTTAATTGTCCTTTCCCCTTTCTGGAATAATTGTCCCCAGCTTTTCACCATCCATAATGTGGATTCTGGTTTCCCCCCCTTCCCAATCTCCCCCCTTGTCCCATCAGCTTAGTTGAAACTACAGCCACAGTCAGTGACTTCTCTATATGGAGAGGGGCTCCCAGTCTCCTGAGGCCCCCAGTCCTCTCTGTGAGGACCCTCAGGGCTCCCCAGGAATTCCACATGGCCTCACAGTTCCTCCTCTGCACACCCCACCCACTCCCATTTCTTGGAGTAAGGGTCAAGATGAGCTGGGCCAGTCCCTGCTCTTTCTGTCAAAGTTTGACCCCAAAGCGTCCACCAGCACCTCCCGACTCCTGTGCCGGGCTAGAAGCCTTGTCCTTGGTGCCTGTGGTGGACAGGCAGCTAATGGGAGTCCTTATACACACCTCACAGGTCTCACACATCGCACAGAAGGAGGAAGGGAAGGGGAGAGAAGAGAGGGGGGAGGAGGGGAGGAAGAGGAAGAGGAGGAGGAGGAGGAGGAGGAAGAGGAAGAGGAGAAAAAGAAGACACAGAGAGGGAGGAGGGGGGAGGAGGAAGAGGAGAAAAAGAAGACAGAGAGAGGATGGAGAGGGATGTACTGACGAGGTCAAGGGGACCCTGGATCTCAGCATGGAAGCCTCTCAGGCTCTATAGAGAAGTCTAGGATGGAGCAGGGCTGAAGCCTCAGCACACCTTCCCAGGCCTGCTGATATCCCAAGGGGGCAGGGCCAGGTAGTCCTGCTGCTTCAGGGACTTGAAGAACTGAATGGCTGGTACCTGAGGTGTAGGCTGGCAGGGGGGCTTCTTGACAGGAAAAACCTGGTCTAGGTTTCCGATGTCAGGACATGGACCAGGGGAGGAGGGCTTGTTCCGGGGTGAGAGAGGTCCCAGGCCAGGGAGGAAACAATAGTCCCCCACCTGCTGCAGCACAAGGAGCCCCTCAGGGTGTGGGGACACAGGAGTCACATCCTCCCGGGGCTCCCCTGGGCTCAGCCCAGGGCTGATGGGTGCAGGAGGGGCAGGACTGCCCACAGGGGACTTGGGGGACTGCCCCATGGTTGGAGGGAGGTCCACATAGCCCTCAAACTCTGGCTTTCCTAGGGCTGGGGTCCCAGGGGGCTCACTCAGCAGTCTAGGACAGAGGCTGGGATTCTGGTCTAAGGGGAGGTCCAGAGGAGAAGTCAGAGAGACAGATGGGGACCCTGTGGGCAGGGTGAGTGACATGTCAGCAGTAGTGACATAATCAGAAGCCATCATGGACTCCTTAGGGGCCCCAGAGCTCATGGGTAGAGCCACCAGGCTTTCCTTTGGGTCCTGTCCACTCACACTCAGTCCAGGTGCAAGAGAGGCAGGGCTTCCCCCAGCCTCTAGGGATGGGTTCCCCTCAGCCACTGGACTGGGCTGACACTCCCTGTCCTTGTCCTGGCCCTGCCCCATCACCTGGGCCAATGGGACCAGCTGTACTTGTCCCCAAGGCGGTAGACATAGGTACTCCAAGGAGCCTGGCAGGGATGGCTTTGGGGTCCCACCTGCCTGTGGGGACACCTTCTGGCCCCTAATGTCAGGCAGGGAGCGGCTGTGAGGTGGCCCTAGGTAGGGTCCATTGAAGTCAAAGCTGGAGACCTGGCCCTCAGGCCTGTCTTCAGGGGCTGGCAGGGTGGTTGAGGGGGTGGGTGGCTGTTTTGTGGGCAGGCCATGGGCAGCTGGGGTTGTGTCAGGATCAGACGGTGGGTCACAGACACCTTTAGGATCCTCTGTGGTGAGAGGTGACACCTCACTGTCTCCCAAATCTACAGAGAACACCCTGTGGGGAGAGAGGAGACAGATATGGAGGCCATGTGGGCAGATGCCTCAGTACACACACAGAGCAGGTGCAGGAATCCAGAAGGCCCAGAGTGTCACAGGGAGCACCAGGGGCATGGGGGAGATGGGGCTCGAGAAGGGACATCTTTTTGGACATCACTCACAGAATGCTTAGTTCAAGGTCGTCCACAATAAATGGCTCCCTTCTTGTCCCTGTAGCCCACCCACCTTCAGGGCCAGCTCATGGCCTGCCTGTGCACTGTTCCCTATAGTCACCCCACCTACCAGCTCTAACTGACAGAGGATGCTCAGCTGCCACCTCAGGAGCTGAGTCCTGCAGGTGTGACCCCTCGGTCACCTGTGAGGCCTCTGCAGGATGGCACATCCCGGAGCAGCAGGGCAGTGAGAGGCAGGAGACTCTGGTCAAGTCCCTTGCCTGTCCCTCTCTAACCTAGAGTCAGGAACTTCTTCCTGACATCCACCTGGGGTGCCGCCTGCTTTAGTGCAAACCCATTGCCTGGATTTCATTCACAGTGAGCCACAGGCCACTTCATGTGAGCTCCTGATGCCGATAATGGGGAACCCCCACCCCACTGGCTCCCCGGAGGTCAGGGGCAAGTGAGAGCCGCACACACACTCACCCCTCCAGCTCAGGACAGAGGCTGCGCCAGGGCCCCTGCGGAGTGGGGATCCTGCTGGCAAAGGCTGATGTGCTGTCTGGGAGCCTCAGTCTTGCACTTCCGTTCTGGAAAGGAAGGACATTGGTGCCTGTGGTGTGGTGGCCTTGGAAAGGTGGGGAGGGTAGGGGACATGGGAGGGGTGGGAGTTCACTGAGGTCCAAACATGGGAGCCATTTCCAAAACCACTGTGGGGACCTGCCATGGCCTTCTGACACCAGGAGACTGAGGCCCAGGGAGAAGCTGTGTCCTCTCCAGGGTCCTGGGCTTCTGAGACAGGAGGACCCTTGGCTCCCAAGCCTTACCTCATCAGGGCCCCCACCCTCACCGCTCCCTCCTAATACTTAGTTTGAGACCCCTCACAAAACAGGGTGACACTGCTGCCTCACTAGAGGCCCTGAGGCTCCCTCCTGGGAAGCCTCCTGGGTCAGTGCTCCTGGAGAAACCTTGTTCACACCCTGCAGCCACTCTGGGAAGAAACGCCTTGCCCACCAGCACCCAGCCCTTCAGGACTCAGCTCAGGTCCAGTCCTGGGCCTCTGATGCCCCACCCATCCTAGGAGCTCATTCCTGATCCTAAGCTGGCCCTGGGCCCTGCTCTCAGTCCTTCCATGGGCTCCAGGCAGAGCTGGGATGGGCGTGGGGCTCCAGGTGCCCAGGGAAACCAAGGACCAACTTCCTGCTGGCCCAGCCTCCATGCTCACAAGTCTGGAGCTGTGCACACCTGGCCATGACATCCTACAGGAAGAGGCAGGAGGTGACAGGACAGAGACAGGGAGCCAGGAGCAGAGGACCCCTCTCCCCTCCCCCAGCCCATCCTACCTGGAACAGGAGGCTCTTGCCTGGGTTGGGGATCTTCTCCTTCCACTTTCTGTTCAGCCTGGGAGACAACAGGGAGGGGACAGTCACCAGAGACCTCAGGGCTAGTTGTCGCATGCCTTATGTGAAGGGGAAACTGAGGCCCAGGGAGTGGGTGGCAGAGGAGGAGTTGGAGAGACCCAGGCTGTGCCAATCTGGTGGCCATTGGGGGTCCAAGATTCCCCTAACCCAAGCCCATGGAGTCTGTTACCTGTATCCGTAGATGCCACCGAAGCGGAGGGCCACAAGCAAGGCAAGGGTGACACAGGCCAGGACCAGCGCCAGCACCCACATGGGCAGAGCTGTGGCAGCAGGAGGAGGGAGGAGCATTAGGTGGAGAGGGAAGGCTGAGGCCTGGAATCGGGGGCATCTCAGTGTCCCCCAGGACCTCCGCACAAGCCCAGGACACCAGAGCCCACTGCTTAGGGCTGCTGGGTGGGATGGCCAAACACAGGAGAGGAAGAGGCCTGGTCTGAGCCACCAGCACTCACAGGACAGGGGCATGGAAGGCTGGTCCTGTCCAGCAACAAGAGTGCCACGGGAGGCATGGCCTGCGGCTGGTGAGCTTGTGGACTTCCTGAAGGAGGAGGCATGGGCACTGGACCTCCAGGTAGAAGGAGGGACAGAGGTGGAGGGAAAGGCATGCTGGCAAGGAGTTCAGCTTTGCCGAGTCCCTCAGGAGCCCCTGCCTTCCCTCTGGGCAGTCCTGAGCTGCCCACCCCGCCCGCGCTGGCTGGGTCCTGAGGACCTCCTGCCTTCCCTCTCCCTGGGGTTCTAGGGTCCAGTCCTCTTTTCTACCTGACCTTGACTACCTCCCTGGGGCTCCTCTCGAGACAAGGCTGGCTATAGGCTGGGTGCTTTCTCCCCACAGCCCCTCCACCCTCTCTGAATCCATCCTTTCGATCTGGCTTTCTACGTGTATCCACGTGGTGACTGAGCAAAGGAGAGGATGAATGAAAGGCACGAGTGCAAGAGCTGGGGACTAAAACTTCACACCAAGCCTCCCAATCCCAGGCCCCAGTCTATAGCTTCTGATGTCTTTGCCGCCATGGTCACAGGAAACCCAGGCTGACCAACCACTGGGTCCACAAGATGAGCGAAACCAAGGCCCTGTGAATAGAGGCTGAGCCCCAGTGTGAAGGGGCTCTCGTGTCCTTTCCTGTGCTCTCTCAAGTTGTCACCAGCACACAAGGTGCACGGCAGGTGTCACTTTCCAGTGACTGGTGACACACTGAGGTTAAGGAGGTTCAGTTGGAACCCCACGTCTCTGCCCACTCTCCTGTAGGGCTGTGAAGAGGGCGAGTGAGTGTAGACGACATACCCCACTCAGTGGTCCAGCAGTGCTCCCCGCTCCATTCGCTCCAGATCCCACGGTAGGGTCCAGGGCTGGGCTTGACCCTCACCCTGGCACAGTACTTGGTGTCCGGCTCCAGCACTGGCAGGGGCATGCTGTGGGCGTGCTGTAGGGTCTCGCTCTTGCTGTCCTGTGGAGAACAGGTGCACTGTGGCCAGGGCCCTGGCCAGGTCCTCCCCACTTCCAGACCTCACGGCCACCAGGAGGGACCCCACTCTGGGGTCCACTGCAACCCAGCACTCAAGCGCGTCAGACTCCACCCCTCATGGTGCCAAGGCCAAGAACTCCAGGAGTCACCTCCTCCCACCCTTACCTGGAGAGTCGTCCCCACCCAGGTGTTCTGGGGTGAACAGAACACTCCAGGAAGACAGCAAGGGCAGATTGGGCCCTGGGCCCTGAGTCCCTCCTGCCTCAGTTTCCTCATTCTTAGCCTAAAGTTTCTGTGCTGCCCAGCTTCTCTCTCTGCTCTGGGCTCAGGGGAGCCTGCAGTATATGCTCAGCAACCAGGGCTGCCTGGTGGTGGGATCGGCAGGGCCTGCACCTCAGGAGCAGTCTCCCTGGAATAATGTCCCCAGGACTTGGTGACTTTTGAAAACCTTCATCCAGGGTCTCCACCCACCAATCTCTGACATCTTCTGTACCTTGTAATTCAGTCTGTTGTGTTCATGTTACTTGTCATGTCCTCTCTCTGCCTCAGCTCCTTCCCAAGTGATGGGACTGTGACCTACTGACTGCACAGGGTGTGGCTTTCAAGTTGCAGTGGTTCCTCTGACCAGTCACCTGCTTAGCGTCTGTCTCCTCCTTCCCCCAACCCTCTACTCCTTTTCTCTGCCTGGGCTTAGGCCCCTACCTCCCATTTGGTGGTCTCTTTCCTGTACTGGACCTCGAAGGCATGATCAATGTGTGTGTAGAACATTTTCTCTGCTTCCCAGCGCAGGCTGTAGCTGTCTCCATCCTTGGTCACACTGATGGTGGGGCGGCCCATCTGGACTGGAAGGAGGTTGACTTTCAGAGGTCATCTTAACATCCATGACACAGTAGAACATTCCCTGTGATCCAAGCTGGTCACAGGCATTATCCTCCCTGGCCCAAGACCCTAGACCCTGGCCACGTTGGCCCCTTTTGCCCTGCCAAGCCACCCTATCGTCATGTGGTTTCGACAGCTCCTCTCCTGGGAAACGTTAAGTTATACTTTTGTTGTGGAGGCCAAAGCTTGGGTGCTTCCTAGTGTTTGTAAGAAGTCAACTGTGTCAATTATGTTCATGCTGCATGAAGCACTTCACCTCTTCCTCACTGCCTTCCATGGGAGGTGCTATAAGTTCTGCAATTTACATGCAGTGAAACTGAGTCTCAGATCAATTATGGCCTGTGCTAAAGGCAGGCAGCTGAGCAGTGGAAGAGCAAAGATTGCACCAGCTCGTCACCCCACCCTGCTTGTCCCAGTCACTCCCCCCAGATCGTCTATAGTGTCTCTACAACCCACTCAGGAACTACTCCCTCCACTCACCCCTGAGACATTGGGAGGCATCCACAGAATCCACTCACAGGTTCTTGCCACCTGTAAAGCCCCCATGCACTGGCTGCACTGGCCTTCAGTCACATCTGCATGAACCCATCCCAGCCTCATTATGACCAAAAAGAAAGGTGAATCCCCCTTGTAACAGTCCATTCCATGTGGCCAGCAGACCAGAAGTTGTAAATGGAGAGAACAGAGAAAGCAGAAACTGAATATGGACTCAGATGTTCTGCATTCCTGATTGATTTACCTCCTACTAGCTGGGTGTCTATAAGTCAATCAACCACTCTGAGCTTCCATCCATCAGAACAAAAGGAAACTCATAACTTGATATTTTCACAGGGCTTGTACAAAAATAGTGCAGGTGGCTACAATATGTTGAGGTGTCCTCTTGATACATAGGACTCCCTTTTCCCAGGGAGGAACCCACGAGAGCAAGTGGGAGATTTGAAGCCAGTCAATAAGACAGATTGACTGCTACCTCTGACATGCACTAGGACTGAATGGAAGGACCTGGTCACCATGGAACAACCTAGGGGGTCCCCTTGCATCTTGCATGGGAGTCCTTGCCATACAGCCAGGAAGGAGAAACATTGACCTTGAAGGATCTAAACCCTGCTTGCACAACTCCCAAGCAATGGAGAGTAAATTTACATATCAATATATTGAAAAGTAGACACTAGGCAGAGGGGAATGTGGGAATCCAGTAAGTGAAGAACGCAAACAGGGAGTGAAAGGGGCAATCTTGGCGGGAGAGCCTGGGTTGAGGTCTGGGGAGGAGCTGTGGAGCAGGTGCAAAGCCAGAGAGGAGACAGAAGGAAAGGAAGTTTCCTGGGGATTGTCAACTGTACCCTCCTATGCATGCTGGTCACAGTCCTTGCTGTGTCACTGCTCTGCAAGGACTTCAGGAGACATCACAATAACCTTTGGTCACTGGAATGCATTTCTTTGAAAGTGACAAACAGAAAGCCTCGACAGAAGGAACACTGGATTTTGGGGGGTGACACAGTGGACAGATCATGTCCCGAGAACCCACACACAGGTGGGAGCAACTCACTGTGGTCTGAGCTCTTTATGAATTTCTCTTCCCTCCGTGGCCGAACAGAGACGGTGTACTGGCCGTGAGCCCCAGGGTCCGGCACAGAAATCCTGCAGCGCTGCCTGGTGTAGAGGCCATCCAGCTCCTCCTTCTGCACCTGAGAACATTCTTCCTCCCTGGGGGGCACAGCTGAACTGAGGACAGGGACCACAGAGGGGCCACAAGGGCTGAGACCTCAGATTAGGACAGAAAGAGGCCTGGCCAGGACAAGGAAAGAGCAGGGAGGGGTGGGAGGGGACGCTCACTCACCGTGCACTTGAGCTGGACCTGTAGAAGAGGCTGAAAGAGATGGAGCTGGTCACCTGGGACCGTACCTCCCAGGAGCAGCTGAGCGTGTGGACCCCGTCAAAGAAGCACTGCAGATTCTGGGGCTGGGCCTTGTCCCCTGGGAGGAGAGATGTCTCTCATTCAATCCACCGTCCCTCAGTCCATAGCTCTGGGCCACCATGTGACTCAGACAGAGCATGGGCTTGGGGACAACAGGCCCAGGTTGTGGAGGACGTCAGCCTGCTCTACCTGCTGAGGCCCCCAGTTAGAGAGGAACTGGGAGACCACCTGTCAGAGGGATAGAGGGATGGTCTAGAAGCTTCCATGTGGGGTTGAACACGGTGACATAGGGAGCCCTGCATGTCTGGGCTGATGCTGTCAACTAACAGGTGGGGAAGGGAGCCCGGAGTGCATGAGACAAGTCGGCCCAGGGGAGTTCCAAGTGGAGACAGGGCAGGCCAGGGACCCTGTGAGAAGAGTACACAGCAGAGACACTTGGAGGCCACTGGGGGTTGGGTGGGACCCTTCACTTCTGCCCAGAGCTCCTGCAAGCCCACCCTGCCCTGGGCTCACTACCTGGCTGGGAGTCCCAGTGCACCTCAGGGCTCCATCTGCTGGGCCTTCCTGACAGGCCTGAGCCTGGGGTCAGCTTGGTCCGCACTCGGGCCACATAGGAGGTGCTGGGCATCAGGAGCTCTGGCTCCAGGACCACGTGGGAGGACGTGCACTGCAGGGTGGTGCCGTCCTGTGGGAGAGAGGAGGTGCTGCAGGAGGGCTGGCCTGGCTGGCCTCTGTCTGGGGCAGAACTGACTGTGGGTCCTACCTCCCAGGAGTCCTGAAGCCTCCTGTAGACCACCTCAAACTCCAGGTCCCCCTGCGACAGCCAGGGCCTCTGGACATCCCTAAGAGGCACGCTCCAGGTCAGCAGGAAGTGGGCCCCAGTGGTGCTGATGTGGACGTCCTTGGGTGGCGGTGGCTGGACTGCAGGGAGAAGAAGCAAGGAGCTGGTGAGGGCTGGTGACTGTGGGTGCCTGAGGGCTGTCTGGCCTGCTGGGTGACACACCTGGCTTCTAGACCAACACGGCCCCCATGAGAAGCAAGCCACGAAGAGACCCTTCCTCTACAGCCTTGGGCCCTTCACCTCCAAACTTGTGCAGATCCGATGTGAAACAGGACAGCGACCCAGGGTGCTGTGCAGTTACCCTGCCAGCTGCCTCAGGGGCCTGGAAATGACTGCAGCCTCCTCCTGCCCAGCCAAGCACTGTGGCCTCCCAAGCCGTGCTACTCCCTCTCCTGCCCAAATCCCTCACCACTGTGATTGCCCAGGAACCCCATCCTTTGGCAGGGTCACTTTTGTGTTTTGCCATAGCTTATTGTAAATACTCCCCCCGCCATGGTCACAGCTGGTGAATTTCCAGGTGTGGCACACATTTCCAGGTGTGCCACCCCTGGGGGACCCCAGGAGCTCAGGAGGGACAGGCTGGGTCTCCACTCCCTTCCCTGGCCTGAGATGCAGCTGCTTAGTGACCTTGGGGGCCAGGTGAGTGTGTGAAGGAATGAACGCATGCATACATGCAGGCAGTCCTGGGGGACTGAGAGGAAAATCACTCCATCCACCCTCACAGGCACACGTGTCAGAGCCTACTGGTCAGTGAGGAAGCTGCCTTCATGTTGCCCTGGCCCTTGGTGTCCTGACCTTCCTGGTCCGATGGCTGGGGGGTGACTTTCCTGTACAAAACATTCTCACAAGCAAATGCTGGCTGTGGGACGTGGTGTGGTAGAGTGTGTGGAGCTGGAGCTCTTCAGGAGCCATAAACCTACAATGTTAGGTGCACAGCACAGAAACTACCGCTCTCCCTCTCCAGCCAGGACAGGCATTGCTAGTGGATCACTGATCACTGTGCTCCCAGCCCCTGAGGCTGCCATGGAGTGAGAATCAGCTTAGAGCTCTGGAAGCTGCTGTCAAAGACCCAGGAACCCAGTTAAAATCCTATTCAGCCAGCATCAGCGACCCCAGTCACCTGCTCATTCACAGATGGAGAAGGTGCAGGGAGGGGGGAGTGAAATGGTTCCCCTTTGTGGGAACCTCAGGCCAATCCTAGGCATATCTCTGCCCTGCCCAGCACCTGATTCAGTGCCAATCTGTATCAGGCTGGAACTGATGTTCCTCTCAACATACACTGCAGAAGGCTGAGTACCTCACTCTCCTTCCCTGCTCTCTGCTGTCCCCATCTCCACCAACAGCCTCCATGGTCTCCAACCTTAACTTCCGTGGGGCAGGAGTGCCAATCAGTGTGTTCACAGTTCTTCTGGTCATGTAGGAATAGGTCTGTGGCTAAATTGCCAGTACATCCTAACTGTGGTCACCTCTGCCCAGGTTCCCATCCCTGGCCATCATCCCCATCAGGACTCATATCTCCCTGCAATGAATGCCTTGGTCACATTCCTGCCCTGGCCTCCTTGCCTCCTCTGACCTTTCTTTTACTGGGGATGCCTGCCTCCAGCATCCCCAGCTGCATATTGGATCATGTCATACCCCTTCAGTGGCTGTCCATCAACTGAAGGGGGCCTCTACTCTCCCCTGCAAGGCGTACAAGCTCTGGAGGCTCCGACCTTGCCTGTGTCTCCCGTTTCTTCCTACCACCATCCATCCCTCTTGAACTTGATCCTGCCTAGACACAATGACTAGGGTTTTCCCAGTGTGCTGCACCCTCCCTCCTGACCTTTGCGTGTTACCCCTGAGGATCTCCCACTTTCTTGAGGATCTCCACTAAAAATTTCTTTCCTTCCTTCTGGAATGCCTGATCTCCAGGACTCTTTGTCTTCAACCCCCCACAGGGGGTCCTCTCCCTACTGTGACCCACACTTGCCTACAGTGAGTTATCACACAGGAAAATATCCGTGGTCACCTGTGCCTTCAGTCTGAATCTCTCATCCATCAAACCATGTTTTGCAGTATCATGTCAGAGGAAGTCCTGGTGGCCTAACCCATTGCCTCTTCCAGGTAACAGCTTCAGTGAGGCTGTTCCAGACACAGGGAGAGGCAGGAGGCAGAGCAGAGCAGCTGGGCCCAGGGGGGATCAGAGCAGGAAGGCCCAATGTGCCTGGATCCCACCTCAGCACTGTCACCTGTAGGGGCCAGACTTTGGCAAGTGCTCTCCCTCCTTCATCAGAAGTCAAAGGCAGTGACAGTAACACCTAGCCCAGCATTTGGGCAGGTGAACCAGAGCCCCAGTGTCCCCTAACAGCCCACAACATGTACAGGTTTGGCAAGTCAAAACAAACCTTTGTACATGACTCCCCTATTTTCTTTAGCTTCAGTGTGGGGTGATATTTTCCTGAACCCCTGAGTTTCAAGGACCAGCTGTGTTTCTTTCACTGTGTACTGAAATAAACTTGCCTGTTCAAAATGACCAGTGCTACCCACCCAAAGCCATGCTGGTTTCCTGGGCGTGTGGACCTGCAGTGCCACCCTGAGACCCCAGAGAGGGCAGTGAGGACACAAACTCTGGTGTTAATCTTGGGAAGCTCACATGAGCCTGTCCTGTCACCTCTGCTCAGTGGTGGCACTTTGGACTCTGTAGCAACAAGATGAGATGGCGCAGGGGAAAGAGCTGTCAGTTGACAGTTACTGTGTCAATTGACGGATGGCTCCTCTTGGAGCATAGCCTTCAGGCTGGGATCCTTTGACTGAGACCCTCCCAGATCTGCCGCCGGCCTCCTGAGTGAAGATACTACTTCCTGTGTCCACCAAGGACCAGTTCCGCCCTAGGACGGTGTCTCCATTCCTTGGACACCCTCATCCCACAGCCACCTCTGGTGCCCACTGTCTAGACAGGGCCAAGCCCTGGCAGAGCCCCAGCCTCTCACCATGCTGGGTCAGTGTAACTGTGAGCTGGTCTCCCAGAGGCCGGTCTGGCTGGAATGAGAAGTAGTCATTGTCGGCAAGAACAAAACCCTGGTAGGGAATGACACATCTTCTGGGCACACAGCTGGAAGATGGGCATTTTGACCAGGACAAGTCCTCACTGAGGTCACAGGACACTGGCTCTGGAGGGCTCCTGTCAGGAGGGGACATGGGATAGTTCAGAGTAAATAAGGGTCATTCACTCATCAGATCAATACTGAGTCACCACTACGTGCGGGGCTTTGTCCCAACTCAGGGGCCTGGCAATGAACAACACAGGCAGATTCTCAGCCATGGAGCTGACATCCTGGGAGATGAGGACCAAGCTAACCCACTGAGAAACACATAAGATAGATGGATAGATAGATAGATAGATAGATAGATAGATAGATAATAGATAGATAGGCTGATTCGTATAAATAAAACAAGAAATGGGGATGAGGAGACTAGGTTTGATAGAGGGTGCAGTTTATAACAGAGAAGGGGGGACAGCCTCACTGAGAATGTCACCTATGGGCAGAATCTCCAAGGACTTGGAGAGAAAGTGTGTAAATTCTGAGGAATGGGGATTTCAAGAAATGGTAACGGAAGTGCAGAGTGCCTGGGGCATGCAAGGGTTGGAGTTTCGCTTGCCTAGGAACGTGGTCAGGGAGCATGGATTGTAGAATGTGAAGGAGGGCCATTTAGGAGATCAGCTAATAAACTAGTCATGCAATGCTATAAGAAATCTGAGTGTAACAGGGCGGGGGCTGGGGGAAGCAGCCTAAATAAACCCTCAAATCCCTCTAGGTTTGCTGACTGTTAGTTGAACTTTAAAAATCACTAATTTTTGAGGTCATACAACTGAGCAATGCATTGTCTCCCACTAACTTTCCTGTAGATGACACCTGTAACTGAAACCACCCACTGGTTAAAATTGTTCTCTGGCAAAAGTTCCTGTCTGCTCTCCTCCCGTGTTCTACGTCTTAAACCTCAAGGTCAAATATTCCTGAGAAACCAAAATATATGAGTCATAAAACTTACTAATTAGTAACTTTCTCTAGATTTACAGAACCCAGGACATCAAGTGACCTTCAGGTAACCTAGCCACTGAAGCCCGCCCCTGAGTCTGGGACTGAAATGGTACTTCCCAAGATCCCTAAACAACCCTTGCACCTGTGAGCCCTAGTCAAGACAGCCTTTGTTACCAATAGCGTTCCATTTTGGTCTGATGGCTTTCCAAAGCAGTCTTTTCCTTTGCCACAACAACTTATCCACGAACATTGGCTTTTGCACAGCCAGCAAAGCAGACCTGAGTCTGGATACATAAGGAATTTGGCTTTCATTCTGATTAGTGGTGAACATTTAAACGACAAAGGAAGGAGAGACTTGTTGTGATGCAGACTGGGAAAGCAGCCCTCTGGGAGCTGCTTTGTGGATCAGCTTTGTGGGGGCTGGACATGTGGAAGCAGAGAGACCTGGGTAGGCGGCTTCTGGACCATTCAGGTGGTAGTAAGTGGTTTGGACCAGAGAGGCCGGGTCAGCATTAGTCAGCTTCAGTTTTTTTTGGATGTGAATGGTTCGGAAGCTGCAGGGGGAATGAAGGTGGTAGAAGGGACTTAAAAACCCAATCAAACCCTCCCAGTTGTTTGGCCTGGGTTGCCATTTCTTCTCATTCGGTGACGTGAGATGGGGAGAGTGAGGCAGGAGCAGTCTTTGCAACAAGAGCAGACATTGGTTTAGGATATTTGCAGAAACCTATTAGCTAAGTCTTAACAGAGAGGCAAGAACTTAGGCAGTTAGGGGAAGCCTGCCCTGGAGAAGTGCTTCTCAGAGTTGCTGCCCTAGCCTGAGGTGGGCCCTACAAAAACTGGACCCATGCAGAGAAGGGGTCCAGGACCACAGTTAGGGGTCTCATCCTCTGCAGGGAGAGGGAAAAATGGAAGGAGACAAAAGAGTGGGAAGGGTTGGGGGCCCCAGGGGAAATGGGGTGAGTGTGGTGGCTGGAAGTTGGGTGAGGTGGAGCATTACGGAGGACTCTGTGGAGAAGAAGGCCAATCCCTGAACATTGGCTCCACTGGATACTGCTCAGTGACAGGCATGGTTTGGTGGCCTGGTGGGGACAGCTGAATCCTCAGGGAAAGGGGTATCGGGAAGGAAAGACTGGAAAGGCATCAGGGCAGTGAGTCCAGACAACTCTAGAGAAGAGCTGCTGTGGAGGAGGCAGGAGGAGGGGCTGGGTTGGGGACTCATGGTCAGGAGATGCCCTCATGCCACAGTCCCTGTTGGCATCTGGAGGGTCAGCACACTTGTGAGGGGGAAGGGAGGAACCATTGATGACATGAGGGAGGGAGGATTGGTGGCAGTGAGGTCTTTCAGCAGCAAGACCCAAGGGATCCAGGCTCAGGTCTCAACAGTGGTTGGGACAGGTGATCTCTGCAGAGCCAGGGAAGGCAACCACAAGTGGAAGACCAGGGAGAGACAGGGGCAAAGAGGGACCTGGGAGTGCAGGGGGCTTCTGCTGGCTCAGGGCAGGAGGAAGCAAGTCACCTGCTGACAGAAGAGGTGACATAGAAGGGAGGGGAGCAGGAGCAAAGAGCACCCAGGAGAGCAGGGACAGCACTGGGGACCAGGGTGAGGGTGCACAGTTGCTCCCCCAGAGGAGACCTCCAAGGTTCCCATGTTTCCTGGATTCCAGTCATTTAATCATTTCATTTATGGCTGAGTCAGACTCTGCCATCCCACAGTGAAGCCAGCAGCCCTGCCGAATGGCCTGGACACAGGAGACCATGGGTCAGATGGCAGCAGTCACGTGTTTGTGGATGATGGCCATGGAGAGATGGAACCCAGCCCCACCTCAGGCCTGAGGATGCTGTCCTGCTCTGCCACTCACCCCCAGTGACTGTCCCACCACCCTGTGTGAGGCTGTCCTCAGGATCCTGACATCCAACACCAGCACCTGGGCTTGGCAGGAGCTCCTGGAGGCTCCTCCTTCCCTGTCCTCTGTCCAGTCCACCCAGCACTGACCCAGACTTGTCCCTCTCCACCACAGCCCCACACCAAGCACAGTGGACACAGGGCCAAGCCTAGTCCCCTGGCACCCAGCGTCACTCACTCATTTAATCGCCGATGCAGGGTCACATTTATGAGCTGCAGGGCGTCCTCGGTGTCTGCCCAGCTGCAGACGATGTGGCTGGTGTAGTCGTTGTAGCAATTCAGGGTCTGCATTGGAACAGTTTCTGACAAGGAGAAGTGGGAGATTCACCCTCCCTTCCAGGTGCTCCTGTCACCCCCAGCTCCTCAGGTTGCCCAACCTGGTGGAGGGACTCCAGCTTCCTACAGAGACCCCTCGTAGTCAGGCAAAGGGGTCCTGGGCCAGGTGGGGCTCTGTGTTGGGGTCCTGGCTTGAACACCCTTCTCCTGACAGGAACAGGGAGATTCCCTTTGATTCTCAGCACATTCCTGGGACGTGTTGTGCACTCCCCCAGGCCCCCTAGGACAGGGACATGCCTGAGGCCCTGCCCCAGCCCCACACATGCTTCCTGGCGGGACAGGCACACACCTTGCCTCATGCTAGCCTGGCCAGCCATCCCTGGGCCTGTCCTGCTCTCTGGGCCCTAGGGCCTGGGTTTGGCAAAGGCAGTGTAGTACCTAAGGTCATCCAGAAGTCTCTGGGAGCTGAGCAGGTAGAGAGCCCCAGGTTGAGGGCTTCATGTGGGCAGTGGCTGGAGGTGGGAACTGAGGCTGGCAGAGGAGCTGAGGGTCTGGTCAGGAATGGAGCAGTGAAGAGGCTGGACTGGCCTGAAGGTTGGGACCACAGTGGCCACACTGGGATATAGGCAGAGTAGCGACACCCCCTCAGCTGGATATTGCAGGGCCAGGGTGAGTAGGAAGAAAAGGAATGGAGTGACCAGGGGGACAAGGCATGAGGAGGCAAAGCTGGGAGAGGAAGGCCAGGACTGCTGATGTCTGGAGCCTCTTGGGGTACAGTGGGGGTGGCCTAGCATTGAAGAGGGAGTTGGGAAGGGGAGGGGCCATCAGACTCACCTCCTTCCTCTGCCAGGCTGGTCCTCCAACACAGAGCCAGCAGGGTCACCTGTAGCATCCCCTGGGTTAGCGCCATCTTCCAGTCAGCTCTGAACAGTGCTGAGTCTAGTACAGGTAGGCTCTAGCTGTGGGCAGGGTGGGGTCCTCATTACCCCAGGGTCCTGTGTTGCTGCCTGACTGGTGGCTGGACCAGACCCATTGTCACCACTCTTGACTTGAGACTCCGCCTCTTCTGGGCCTGAGGAAAGGTGTGGACTGTGTCACCTATGAGCTGCCCAGGGCCCAGCTGAAACCATGGGATGAGGCTCCAGGGAGGTGACTCTGATGCATTGTGCCCTGGGCAGTCCCCTTCCCTTGTACCTTGGTCTCTTAGGTCATGACCTCAAAAGGGATGACACTGATGACCTTTGAGTCAGGGGGTTCCCCTTGGCTCCACAGTGTCCAGCGATGAGGTCACTCTAGAGGGAGACCTGGTATTTGGTCTAGGCCCCACAAGGGGGATGGATCCCCAGTGGCATGCCACAGAGTCATCCCCTGGGTGGGGTCACTCTCATTCCATCTGGGTCTCTGTCTGTCTGTTATGCGTGTCTCTCTGGGTCTGCCTCTGTCCTTCTGTCTTGTTCTCTGGTGTTCAAGCTGGTGCTCTCCCCGCCTCTATTCTGCTTACCACCATTTCTCCCCACGCCCTTGCCTGCTGGTTCCCCTTTCCCCAAACGCTGGGGATTTCCTCGTTTTTGTTATGTCCACGTGGGAAGCACCCAGGGACCAAGCAGTCTCTCTTTCTCCTGTACAATGTTTGAAACTTCACTCAAGACATGTACTTCCTATGCATGCATTTGTCTGTCTGTCTGTGTATCTTTCAGTGGACATACTAACCAAAAACAAACTCTATTTTTCCCATAACGGCCTCTATGATGAAGAAGGAATCCATAAGCAAGGTAAAGTGATGAAATGTTCAATTAAAAATGCTAAGATAACTAAATAGTAGCATTAACAAAATCAGCTGAAACACCCATCTCACACCATTCCTTAAGTGTGAGGTTAAGTAAAATTTAAGTGCCAAAGCGAAGTCAAATTAAACTTCGAACTGTAGACATGAACAGCTTTGAACTACCTAAGCTTGAAAGTAATCAGAGAGATCAGAAGCAAAGACTGACAGAGAAAAGCAAAACAAAGAAAGACCTTCTCTATTTTATAAAACTGAATCATAAAGCAAAGGAAAAAATGCAAAAAAAAAATTGCAGCATTGTCTTAATCTGTTAGAACTGCCGTAACAAAATATCACAGACTGGGCAGTTTATAAAAACAACGGACATTTAATTTCTTGCAGTTCTGAAGCTGAGAAGTTTGTGATTAAGTCACTGGCTGACCCTGTGTCTGGTGAGGCCCCTTCCTTCAGACTTCTCCCCGTCACCGCACATGGTAGGAGGGGTGGGGGACGGTCTGGGGCCACTCTTCCAAGGACACTAATTGCGTTCATGAGGGCTCTGCTTGAAAAACCCCTTCCAAAGCCCCCCACCACCCAATGCACTCACATTGGGGATTAGGTTTCGCCTCTGAGTTTGGGGGGACACAAGCATTCAGTCCATAGCAACCAAAGATGAAAGCAGAGTAATGTCATCAAAGATCACATATGCACTGAGAACTCATGCTAGTGGTGAACAATGTTTCAATGCTTACATAAGCCAGGCAGTGTTCAGAGCTTTTGCAGATACCCATACATGCACACGTCAGCTTCTGTTAGAATCCTCACCCCACAGATGAGCAAATAGTACAGGATGTAACTCATGGGTCCACGACACAGCTGTAGGTACAGGTGGGGACTCAAACCCCCTGTAGGTTGCCATAGGGCTCTGCATCCTTTTGTTTTTTTGGTAGTACTAAGGTTTGAACTCAGGGATTTATGCTTACTAGGCAGGCACTCTACCACTTGAGTAACTCCACAGTCCTGTTTTGTGTGTAGTATTTTCATGATAGGGTCTCAGGAAATATTTGCTCAGGCTGGCTTTGAACTTTGATCCTCCTGATTTCTGCCTCCCTAGTAGCTAGGATTATAGGCATGAGCCACTGATGGTGCCTAGCAGGGCTCTACATCCTTACCACAACTCTCAGGGGGGTTGCATTTCCTGATCATCCATGTCAGACATGTGCCATGTCCACTGTGACAAGGACCAACCTGACAGATAACCGCCACAGACCAGATTGGGCATAAAGAGAGGACAACATAAAAACCTTTAAGCCGGCACCCTCAGTGCCCTTGGAGAGTGGAGAGACGAGAGCCGTGTAAAAGCACAGCCTGCTGTGTGAAAAACAAAACAGAGTTCTTGGACTTTGAAGGCAGGAGATCCATAATTTTTCAAAGCTCAGTAACAAACTGAATCACAGAGGAACGTCACAGCAATCATCTCACATCGTAGGTGTTTAAAGATGGAGCAAAAGGACAGGAGACAGAGTGTTTCAGGGAAACATGAAGAAAACCAGAGAAGAAAGCCAAGAACGCTGACATCCAGAAGCGGACGACAGAACCGAGGACGCATAAGCCACACAGTGTCTGCCGCCTAAATGTCCTCTTCCTCTTTGGCCATGGAAGTCCAAGTCCTAGCTGGGCTTATTTTGCATAGAATAAAAGATTCTATTTTCATTCTCTCCTGCCACTAGGCATGGCATGTAAACAAATGATTTCCAAGGAATATGGGTAAGGTACTGTGTGTCTTCCAAAAAAGGCTGCTCAAAAGGAGTCCACCAGATGGGAGTGGTTCATTTTTGCCTTTTCCCCTTTCCTTCAACCTGCAACTCAGAAGTGATGGCTGGAATGCCAGCAGCCATTTTGGACATATGGTTACCTTGAGGATGGAAGCCATATGCAAAGATGATGCAACAGAAAGAGAAGAACCAAGATTCCTCTTGTCACTGTGGAGCAGTCCTACCAGCCTGAGGTCACCTACTTCTGGAGATCTCTGATCTGAGGGGAAAATAAACTGTGTTGTTAAGCCACTGTTGTTTGGGGATTTTCCATGTGCAACCAAACAACTATAATTGTTTGAATTGGAAAACTTCATAAGCTTTAAAGGAGAAAAGAGTCAACTAAGAAAAAGAGAAAGACTTTATTGGTGGGGGAGGGATGGCTGCTACAGTTTAATTTTGAAATAAGAGACAGAGATTAGACGTTCTAAAATTTCCTCTTGCTAGTGCTGTACCTGTCACAGGCTCATGTGAACTTTCAGTCGTCCAAGAAAAAGGGTAATCCTAAGAAGCTTCCAGAAAGACACAAACACTAGGTTACTCTCAATGGGACAAGCTCATGTTAGCAAGTGATTTCTCATGAGTGACCCCGAAGTCTAAATGCAAAGTGAGGTTTTGAAAACACCAGGGAAAACATGCACAATCTATGCATGAAAAGCAGTTTCCCTTGACATTCAAGGGCAACAAAAAATTTGGCTTACATAAAAGCAAGGGATGTTTTTCAGATCTTTGCTGAAAAAATTACTCTAGGATTTATTTCAGAAAAGACAAATTCCAAGAAAGACAGCATGCAAAGAAAGAAAAAGTAAAACTTTTGGTTAAGTAGAGAAGAATTGCTACCATGTAAAGTAACAGTAACTAAATACACAACAAACTGAACTAAAACTGGGATGACTTTGACATGGGAGTCAGCTGTAGGTGGGGGTGGAGGAGAACTGAAATCTGGCTGAGGACCTTGTCTTGTTTTAGAAGAAAGAGTGTCCACGTTCTAATTAAACCCAAATACTAGTGGAAATTTAAAATTAAGTGCATGTGTTAAGATGTAAGATTTGAGTTGACATGGTGGTGTACAGCAATAATCCCGGCACTCAGAAGGTTGGGTTTACATAGCTAGACTCTGTCACAAATAAATAAATAAATAAATAAAGGAAGGGCAAAGTCACTACAAATGAGTGGTAAGCATAAGGTGGAGGACAGAGAAAACGAGTAGGCAAAAAGAAAATAGAAACCCCAGCATCTTTTCATTCCAACACGCATATCAAAAATTCTCGAGCTTATGAATGAGGAAATTCTATCATAGAAATAAAAACTGAAAGAAAAAAAAAAGGAAGCAAAGCACAAGTTTACTTCAGGTAAAAACAATTCCACAGGACAATCGGACAAAGATTTGTCAAAGAATGCATGGTGGCCAAGGAGGGAGTGCTCCACCAAGGAAAGGACAGCCCTTGAGAGACCGATTTAGGATTAAAAGAAACAAAAAGCACAAGTTTATCCTGGCAGATGCTCCGAAAAATTTCCGAACACACAAATCCTTGCAGATTAATTAAGCACACACGCGGTGGCAAATGAGATGCTGGGAGAAGCTGGGCATCGCTGTGGGTCTGCAGAAATCCGGGCCACGGGAAAGCTGTCTCCAGGGCTCTGTTCCCCACCCCAATAATCCAGAAACTCAGTGCAATCCAAATGGAGGTTCAAACAGATTTTTAATGGGCTTGACAGGCTTATTCTAAATTCCAATAAACCAAAGATGACAGACTTGTTCTATTTGCCAGAAAAATAATAAGGAACACAACAGAAGACAGAACAGAAAATAACCAAGTAGTAGTTGTTGGTTTTGAAAGCTATGGTGACATTTCAGGTCACTGAGAAGTGGACTGATTCACATTGCCAGTTACTGATTTTTAGACATGTAGACGATAGTTTTTAAAAATTAGATTATTATTTTATACATTACCCAGATGAATTATTCCAGATGGATTCTTTCATTCCAGATGAACTAAAGAACCCTAAGGTGAAAACTGGTCAGGTATGAGGCCCATGCTTGTAATCCCAGCACTCAGAAGACTGAGCAGGGGGGTAGAAATTCAAGGCCAGTCTGGGCTACATAGCAAGTTTGAGATTAGCTCGGGCTACATAGTAAAATTCTGTCTCAAAAAAAAAAAAAACCCAAATAAGTAAACAAATGTCAAAACTAAAATGATAAAAACAGTAAAAGTATTTCTTCTCTAATCTGAGGGTTGAGTAAGACACCAAAATCAGAAACCACAGAGCAAAGAAAAAAACACAGTAACATGTTTCACTTAGAAACGATTCAAACATTTTTATATGGCACCAGAGATCTTAACCATCACAAGGAAAAAGATGAGTGATAGTCTGGAAGAATATATGTTCAATATATGAATAAATTACCAATACACGTAACACAAATGATCACTCCCTAAGGTAGGATATAAAAGATGAAGACCTCGTCAGGAAGCAGATGAAGGATTTCTCCATGTTCATCCCAAATGAAATCCAATCAGCAACACGTGGAAGACGTGTGACCTCAACCACCATCAGGCAAAAGGAAAACATCGTCCATGACTAGAGAATTTCCATCCTTCCACTGAGCGGAAGGATGTGAGCAAAAACTTCCCAGGGGGCAAACTGGCTTTTTATGCCTTCTGTGAACATGCATGCCACCCAGCCACTTGGAGGGTGACCTGACAGCACCTATTACAAGTTTACAACCTTCTGCCCCTGGAGTTCAGGCCCAGGAATCCCTTTCACGCATGTGGGAAAATTGGAAATGAGCTGTCTACCAACGTAGGAAAAGATGAATTGTGATGCAGCCATTCTAAGAAATGCATCAATTTGTTTGAGTTAGCGAGTTAAATGTATGTGTATTATTGTGAAGTGTCTTCCAAAACATTTGTGAAGCCATAGGACAGTGGAGATGTGATAATCCCGGTCTGTCAAAAGAAAATCTATGTACTTACAAAACATTCTGAAAAGATACATGCGGTGGAGAGAGAGAGTGGGACATGGCAGGAGGGGACAGAAGTGACAGGCAGGAGACTTTGCCTTTTATGTCACGCGATTCTAGATTACTCTCATTTTTAATAAAGCAGGGGTTTACCCTCAAGTACACTCAGGAATCAACTCTCGAGCCCTCTGACACCATGTTGGCAAGATGCAAGTAAACCCATGAATTAAAGTTTACTGGAAAGTACAGCAGCAGGACCCTTGAAGACTAGAATCCCACCTTGACCCTGATGAGGCTCTTCTAGAAGCTCATACCCCAGTGTGGACCGGAAGCCCTGTCCTTCCATGTGCCAGGTCAGCGTGCACACCTGTGGGCAGCTGGGAGCTCATGACCCAGGCGCCCACATCTGGGCCCAAAGCCCAACCAGCAATGATGGTTCAAGGTGGAGTGTGAAATAGAGGAGAGCGAAAGAGGAGAAGAGAGATTGAGAGATGACCGGAGAGTGTTTTGTGTGTGTGTGTGTGTGTGTGTGTGTGTTTGTCTGGGCAAGAGACTGGGTCTCTTTAGTTCAAGGTGAGCTTCCCAAGCAAGCTTCCCAAACTGCACTCAGCTTTGGGCTCCAGCACCATCGGGTGCCAGGTTTCATCTTCTGCCTCCAAGTCTCTCTGCCCTGCCCGCTGCATGGATGGGATGGCACATGGACACACACACATTCCGCTTCCCTTTTAAAGCCAGGCTGTCAGGACAATCTGCCTTTGCCCCATTCCATCAGGGAGAAGCACCCAGAAGCCCAGGGCAGGGAGGGGACACCTTCACTGCCACCAACACCTCAGTAGCAAAGACAGATGGTACAGGGGTGCCTAATGCCCAGGTGGAGTGCTCTCCACCCCACAGGCATCTTCCCGGCCAGGTTCTTCCAGAGCCCAGCACAGCACCGGGCTAGCTGTGCCCCTGGCAGTCTCCTCACCAATCGGCTGCCAGAGAGTCTCAGCTCAAGTCTCCAGGAGGCCAAGCCCAGCCTCCTCAAGTCCCCAGAGCTGGCTGCTCCACGACACCCCAGACTCCCGTGCTCTAACCCCACCCTGGCTGCCCCTGGGATCCGGACCCTACCTCTGTGCGGTGGGACAGGCCAGCCTCCTCTGGGAGCCTCGACACAGCTGCGAGCCTCCCAGGCTTCCTTTTTATTCATGCTGACGTCGTGAGGAAGCGGGGCAGCAGAAAGAGGAAGCACCAGTGCCTTTCACAAGCATCGCCCGCTTCTCAGAACATTTTTGTCAGCCAGTCTTTGTCACTTTGTAAACTCCTACATGTCCTCCAAGTCTGAGCTCACCAGGACCTCCTCCACACAGCCCTTCCTGACTCCCCGGGGACGGAGGGAGGTGATAGTTACCACCTCCCAGCAGCTCTGAGTCCAGAGCGGGTCAGGCTTGTGGAAGACTTCAAGTGCACTTCTTCTTAGCACGTGACTTTGTGCAAAACACCTGCATGGGGCTGGTCTAAGCCTGGGACCTCTGTTGCTTTCCTAGAAGCACCTACCATGGGGAAGGCAGTGAGAGGCTTCCCAGACACCTCAGCCCAGCCTCCAACAAAAGCAGGTCAGCATCCTCCTCCCCTGGGGCACTTCGTCCCTTTCCACACTGCCCTTCAGTCCACGGCTGTCCTTTCCCCAACTCAATCTTCAGGGTGACCTTTATGTCTCCACCCATTCCTCTCCCCCAAAACGTAATCCATGGCCCAGAAGTCCTTGATGTGTACGGAATGAGTGAATGGATGCGTGAGTGAGTACCTGAGCACTGTGGTATGGCTGTGTTAATACAGTGAGTGAGTGAAGACATTCCTGTAGAGGCAAAACTTAAGGGGACACCAAAAAACTCAGTCATGGAATTAACAAGATTAAAATTTAATGCAAAAATACCCAGGGTGGGCAAAAGATCAACATTTTAAATAAAGACAGGATGAATGAGAGTATTTGCCAAGCCACCTTGGAGTCTGAGGCAAAGGGGAAAGCAGCAGGACTTCACCTGTCCTGAGGAGGACAGTGAAGGGAGAGGTCACTCCTGAGGGCGGGCACAGTGGCAGGAGGGGGGAAATGAGCAGAGTGCGGTCAGGAAGGAGTTTGAACCTGCTGACCTCTGGCCTGAGTGTTCTTTCTGGTCGTTGTTTAAATCGTAAGCCCTTTGCTTACTACACTGCAG